GGGCCAGGTCCCCATTGGGGGCCATGTGGAGGCAACCACACATTGATGTTTCTTTCTCTCTTCCTCCCTTCCCCTCTCTCTAAAAATAAATAAATAAGATCTTAAAAAAACACCCATCATAATAAAAATGATTAATTTTCATAGCCCTTATTTACCAGTGCTTGCTTTCTGCGAGGCACCAAAGCTTTCCACACATTCTGGACCCAGGATTCAAATGCAGGCCTGCCTATGCTTTTCTAATGGAGGCAGTTCTGGCCGGGCCAGGGACACAGAGATGAGCCTGGTATCATCCTGTGCTTCAGGGGCATCAGATCAAAGCAGCTTCTCACAGTGGCTTGGAAGCACAACCTGAAACTCATTCTTCTCCTGCCTCCCAGGAGCAACCTGTGTCCTGGCCCCCAAGTTCTCTGCTTCCTGCTTCTGGAATGACTGTCGGCAGCACGGTGTGACTGTGATCCCATATGTGGGTGAGGTCCTGCGGTACCTGTGTAACATTCCCCAGGTGAGGCACTCAGGTAGGGCTCCAGGGGGAACACCTTAGGTATGAAATCCCCACTGTCATACCAGGTAAAGCTCTAAGGTATATTCAAGTACAGGTGTCAAGCAAGGTCCCACAGGTAAAACACCCCAGACAAGAGCCACATACAATGAGTCCCACACAAGGTTTCCAATAGTGGCTTCTTCAATGATCACCTGTGCTTCCTTGGGCAGGTGACTTCACTTCTCTCAGCCTCAGTGTCCTCATCTGGAACACAGGGATAATATCTCAAGGGGGTATTATGAGAATTAAACGTATGTCCTATGCCTAGAACACGGCGTGGCTCAGGGCAAACTCATTAAACGTAAGCCAGTCTCATCCCTACAGAGCAATGAGGTATAGGCCACAAGTAACTATCTCCAACCAAGGCCCCCAGGTATCCCTCCAGATAAAGTCTGTAGGCAAGCCCTCAAGGAAAGTCTCCAGGCAACTAACCCCAAGTACGGCCCCTAGGTAACTCCCCAAAATGAAGCTTCAAATCACTTCCCAGTTTACCTCCAGGTAAAGGTCTCCAAGTAACCGCTCCAGATAAAAAATTCCAGGTATCTGTCCTTACATAAGATACAAGACAAGGCTTTCAGTCACCCTGGGTGTCCCTTCGGGTAAGGCCACATGTTAACACTCTCTGCCTCCAGGAAATATCTGAAGGTAACCTTCTAAGTACAGGTGCCAGGTAACTATTCTCAAGTAAGAGCCCCTGGTAGACCCCCCTAGGTATAAATCCCTCATCACCTCCCAGGTGACTCCTCAGACCCGAGGTAGCCCTCCCAGGAAGGGTTTCCCGGGTAGCTCCTTGTCACATCCCTGCAGCGACAAGAGGACCAGACACACACAGTTCGCCTGGCAGTGGGCAACGGACTCCGGGCAGATGTGTGGGAGACCTTCCAGCAACGCTTTGGCCCCATTCGGATCTTGGAAGTCTACGGCTCCACGGAAGGCAACATTGGCTTTGTGAACTATCCAGGGCGCTGTGGGGCCATGGGCAAGATGAGCTGCTTCCTTCGAGTGAGTGGATTGGGTATGACAGTGACCCTGATCAAAGCTGAGTGCACCTTACCTCTGCTGATACCTTCCCACCCTCCACTCAGATGCTGTCCCCCTTCGAGCTTGTACAGTTTGACATGGAGGCCGCCGAGCCTGTGAGGGACAAAGCAGGCTTCTGTGTGCCTGTGGGTCCAGGTATAGGGTTTGGGGAAACTTCCCCGGGTGTGGGAAGGGTAGGGAACCCACTTCCTCCTTGGCTGGAGCAAGCCACCCAAAGCTTTGAGGTCAGTGCCCTGTGGTGGTGTCTGCAGCTCTCACCTGGACGCTGAATACCCCGCGCGTCTGACAATCATCCGGAACCCTCTGCCTCTCAGCTTCTCAGCTCTGCCAGACTTTCCAGTCTCAATCTCTTGGCTGCTGTGTCTCTGAGCGTCCATTAGAGTCTTTGTCTCAGGCTTTTTGTGGAAGCCATGTCCTCCCAGGCATCAATTTGTTGTCCTCTACCTTCTCTTAGAGTCTTCTCTTCTGCAAGGCCCTGGCCACATTATTCCCGCCATCATTTGTCTCCGTCCCTTGTCCACCTCTTGTTATCCTCTTCCTATTTTCAGCGGGCTTCCCATGCTACCTTCTGTCCCTCTGTCTCCCTGTCCCTGTGTCTGAGTCTGTTTCTCCCATTTCCACATCTCCCTGTCTCTAGCTCTCGGGGATGATGGAGCTCATCGTTGCTGCAAATCTCCCGCGGGAGGCTGGTGGGCTTCTGAGGTTCTTGTTTATGGTTAATGCCCCCAGGGGAGCCGGGGCTCCTGTTGACTCGGGTGCTAGGCCGCAGCCCTTTCATGGGCTACCGCGGGCCTCGAGAGCTTTCGGAACGAAAGTTGGTGCGAAAGGTGCGGCGCCCAGACGACGTCTACTACAATTCGGGGGACCTGCTGTCCATGGACCGCGAAGGATTCCTGTACTTCATCGACCGCCTCGGAGACACCTTCCGGTCCTGGGCGGGGCTTATTGGGGGCGGGACTGGAAGGCGGGGCCACCGTGGCTATTAGACACAAACGGAGACCGACTGAAGAGGCGGGACTTCCGGAGCCAGGGGGCGGGGCTTGGTAGGCAAGAGGCGGGGCCTGGTTACTATCAGGGGAGTGGTTACAAGACTTGCTACTACCCAACAGATGGAAGGGTGAGAACGTGTCCACGAGGGAGGTGGAGGGTGTATTGTCACTCGTGGACTTCCTGCAGGGGGTGAACGTCTACGGTGTGTCTGTGCCAGGTGTGTAGGGTTCACCTCATTTTATTTTTTGTTTATTTATTTATTTTAGAGAGGGAAGAGAGGGAGAAAGAGAGGGAAACATCTGTGTATGGTTGCCTCTCAAGCGCCCCCTACTGGGGACCTGGCCCATAACCCAAGCAAGTGCCCTGACTGGGAATCAGACCTGTGACTCTATGATTCGCAGGGTGGGTTCACCTCATTTTAAACTCGATTTTAGCGGTGGGGGAGCTGCTGGGGCACAGCCAGTGAACAGCGCTGTGCCAGGAGAAAGGGTCGGCGGAGAGTGACTGGTGTGCTTCTCAGGGTGTGAGGGGAAGGTAGGCATGGCCGCTGTGCAGCTGGTTCCTGGCCAGACCTTCGATGGACAGAGGCTGTACCAACATGTCTGCACTTGGCTCCCTGCTTATGCTGTGCCCCATTTCATACGTATTCAGGTGAGCCCAGGGCGGCAGTAGTTGGTGTGGTGGGTGGGAGGTCTTGTATGTGGGGGTCGCAGTCGGAGTTACCGTCCATTGCCCCTGCAGGACACCCTGGAGCTCACGGGCACTTTCAAACTGGTGAAGTCCCACTTGGTGCGTGAGGGCTTCAACGTGGGCATCATTGCTGACTCACTGTTTGTGCTGGACAACCAGGCCCAGGCCTTCCGGCCCCTGACACAGGAAATATACCAGGCTGTGTGTGAGGGTACCTGGAGACTCTGAACATCTGTACTGCCAACAAAATATCTGAAGGGGCAGGGCCCAGTTCTGACCGTTGCCAAAAAATAAATAAAGGGAGGCACTTTCATGTGGAGCTGGAGCTTCCATGTCAGAGGATCTACCTTGCATGTCTTATGTCTGAAGCCTTTCAAATGTTAACACAACAACAAAACAACCCTGGCTGTTGTGGCTCAGTGGATTGACGACTGAAAGGCTGCCGGTTCTATTCCCAGTCAGGGCACAGGCCGGGGTTACAGGCCAGATCCCCAGTTGGGGCCATGCAAGAGGCAACTGATTGATGTATCTCTTCCACATTGGATGTTTTTCTCCCTCCCTTCCCCTTTCTAAAAATAAATTAATGAGGCATAATAACCTTTGGACCTAATCAATTAACCTTGTGTCCCAAACTGTTTACAAGAATAACAAAAAAAGTAGTTATTATGGCTACTGGACTAACGACTATATGATTCAAAATGAAAAACATTGCCTTACCTGGCGTGGCTCAGTGGGTTAGGTGTTATCTGTCAAACCAAGGGGTTGCCAGTTCTGTTCCAAATCAGGGCACATTCCTGGGTTGTGGGCCAGGTCCCTGGTTAGGGGCATGCCAGAGGCAACCAATCGATGTTCCTGTCACACATCTGACACTGGGCTCAGGAACACAGCAAGAAAAAACTTAGGTGTGTACATGGATGTACGTGTGGAGAAATGAGCCAGGAGTGCAGGGCTTAGTACTTTCCAGGAACCATACTTCAGGGCCCCCCGTACCTCCCCACCAAAGACCTCAACTAGCCTATAGGAGTGGCTACCCCTGGTGTAGCCCGTAGTAGTGTTATAGCAACAGGTCAGTAGGTCCTCAGAATACAGGATGGAAGAGGCGGTCCTCCTCCCTCCTCCCTCAATGAAAACTTCCCCCTCCCAGCTTTAGGCTAGAGCAAGGTCAAGTGTCCCCACCCAAAGTGATCTCCCAGGAAGCTCCTTCTCTGTCTGGTCACACCCACCTGCCATTCCTGCATGTGTCCGAGGCTGCAGAGGACTCCTGTTTTCCTGAAACCGTCCCACATATAATTGCCCCCTTGTTTTCAAAGTAGGAAGGAGATGGAGAAGGGTGCTTAATAATGGTCCCCAAAGACATTCACATCCTAAGCCCTGAAGCCTGTGTTATCTTGCATGTAAAAGGGATCTTGCAGATGAATCAAGTGTGTGGGTGGGGAGCAAAAAAAGTGATTAAGGATCCTGAGATAGGGAGATTGTCACAGATTACAGGTGAGCCCTAAATGCAACCATAAGGGTCCTTATAAGGAGGAGATAGGAGGACCACGGCCAGAGAGATGGCAGCATAAAAAGACTTCACCACCATGGCTGGCTTCACAGGTGGAAGAAGGGGCCACAAACCAAGGAATGTGGCAGCCTCTAGAAGCTGGAGAAGGCAATGAAATACATTCTCTTCTAGAGCTTCACAAGCAGCCCGTCCTGATGACACCTTGATTTTAGCTCAGTGAAACCCATTTCACAGTCATGAGAGAATAAATTCGTGTTGTTTCAAGCCACCAAGTTTGTTACAGCAACAACAGGAAACTAACACAGTGTATTGAACAAAGTCCCAAATGCCTGCCTAGGAATCCAGACATACCTCCATGGGCAGCAGGCAGCTAATCCTTTTTTCTCTAACTTTGTGACCCACTGACCTACTGTGTGGGCCGTGGGGACACAGTCCTGACCTGCAGGTGTGCATGGCCTAAGTCACATATTTGTGTCCTTTTTGTGAGGCCCCCTTGTCTACCCATGCTTAAAGTGTAAGTCCCCTAGTGTCCACTCAAGCTGGGACTCATGAGCTCAAAGGAGAAGGCCGGAAGAGTGACGTGTCCAGTACAGGAAGGTGGGCCGGGAACCAGGACTGCTGGACTCTGCTGGACCTTTTCATGGGTTTGCTGCTCAGTGGCCCCAGCTGCCAGGCAGGAGGAGTGGAACTGCTGATCTTCTGACCAGCAGAGCCAGAAATCAGGATTGTTATGCAGAAACTTCCCTACTATAAAAGTGGGATTTGTTAAAAACCTACAACACATATGAAGGACCATTAGTTCTCTCTCTTCCTGCAAACAAGCAGAGCACTGCTCTCCTAGGCTTTCTGCATCTACCACGTGTGCACTCTGGACCCCGCTGTGTCAGGAAGGGTGGGAAGAGGCAGTTGTCAAGCAACTACCTGCAGGTAACGAGGTCCCAGGGCTTGGAAAAGTTGTCAGCCTGCATCGCGCCACAGGTGGGGAGATCCAAGCTTGGAAATCGCCTGTAGGCGACTGGGCAGGGTGGATTCAAACCAGGCCTCACTTCAGATGAGTAGAGGCATGGGGGCGTGCAAGAGCAGCTTCTTTTCTTGCACCCAGGTGGCTTCCCGGAAGCCCTGACCCTGATTTACTACAGCGCCCGCTACTGCCTCCCGGTCTTCCAGGCTGCGCCCTGGTCCTGAGGACGAGATCGCTAAGGTGAGTCGGCCTTCTCCAACCGCTCACGGGGCCTCCAGCTGGTGGCTCTTCCTGTGGATAACCAGCTGGGACTTCCAGTCGAAGCCACGGCCGCAGTCGTCGCAGAAGTGGCGTTGCTGGCCAACGTGGCTCTTGCGGTGGATGACCAGCTGCGACTTCCAACTGAAGCTGCGCCCGCACTCCTCGCAGGCGTAGTTCCGAGGGGCTGGGGCCGTGCGCCGGGGGTGGCGCAGTGCACCCGGCTCCCGGGGAGTCTGCAGCTGCTTGTCAGCACCCCCGACAGTCAGCGCTGCGGCCTGAGTACCCTGCCCGCTGGTGTGCGTCCGGTGGTGGATGACGAACACTGACTTCCAGTCGAAACCGCGACCGCACTGCTCACAGGTGTAGGGCTTTCTCCGTGCGGCACTAGGCGCAGGTGGCGGCGGGACCAATGCGGTAGCCCCAGATGGGCCCTCCCAGGACAGCGGAGACTCCGGGCAGCCTGGCAGACCCTCGCGCTCACCTCCTGGGAAAAGGACACGTGGTGGACCAATGGCCCTGGAACCAGAACCTTGGCCCGCCATCAGATCCCCCTCCCCGCCCTCCCCACCGCGTGTGCGCCACACAAGCTCCCACCCACCCAAAACGGGTGGCCCTTTCCACATGGGGCAGCACTCACGCTGACAGAAGGTTCCTGGGTCCTCTGTCCCTGCGCTCAGCACCCCTGGCTCCAACTCGGCATGCGCATCGGGCCTCGGGGTCGGTAACCCTGCTGGGGTTGGGGGTGATCAGGTGCCACTCGTGGCACTGGGCGGGTGAAGGGCTGGCACAAAGGAGGGGTGGGGTGGGGACCATGGCAGGTGGCATGGGAGCCCCTTGGGACGAAGGCGGGCACCCCCAGGACAGAGAGGGATGTAGGAAGGGGAGAGGGGAGGAGGCGCCACCGGTCCTCACCCAGGGAGACCACCGTGCCGTACTTCTCCAGCATTGCGTCCCAGTACAGCTCCTTCTGTGACGGGTCCAGCAGCCCCCACTCCTCCTGCCGGGACGAGGCCTTTCATTGCCTGCACCTCCACTCCAGCCCACCCCTCTCCAGGACACAGCCTCATTCCCTGGAGACTCAGACCACGTTCAGATGGAGGTGTGAGGGATGGGGAAGCGGATGGGTGGGAGGGGCCTGTGGTTCACCTATTGGAAGCTGCCAGCACTCATCCCAGAGCTGCCCTACCCCAGGTTCTGGAGGGACAGAGCCTAGGACTCCTGGGTTTGCCAGAGGCAGTCAGGGAAGATGTGGCTGGACCCACACCTGTGCCTTGAGCAGTGTCCCCTTGAGCAAAAGATCAAGGGACTCAGGGGACTCCAGGCTCCTCTCCAGGGAAGCTGCGAAGAGCCCTCAGCACTCCCAAATGTGGGCCCCTGGCTGCCCACATGATGGGAGGTACAGCCCCACACCTGGCACAGGTAATGTGGGTGGGTGATGTACATGGCCGGGGTGGTGGGCTGAGTTCTCTATGTGGACAGGGAGAACCTTCTGGCCTCTCAGAATCCCATTATCTGGTTGAAGCTTTGCTGGGTTGGGAAAAATAGTCCCCACAGACAAGCCACAGAGGAGGCAGTGGCCACAGGGAGTCACAGCCAGGATGGTGATGACTGGAGGTGAGGAGGCTTTGAACTGAGTCTGTGTCTCAGTTTCCTATTGTTCCTCAGGATGTAGAGGGAGCCTGGGGCACTTTGCAGCCTCCTAGCTCATCTCAGCCACCTCTTCCACTGGGATGCTCGAGTGGAGCGGCTTAGTAACAAAGTTGCTGGGAGAGGACAGGACCCCTGCTACTCTGCTACCCACACTCAAGAAGAGAGCAGTGCAGGTAGCGGGGGCTTCAGCTGAGCTTCCACGCCCAGCTGGACAGAGGGGACTGTGGGCATTTCCTTCGAAGAGCCTCTCCATTCCGATCTCAGTTGTGCTGGGGAGACAGGACTGCCGTGTGGTTGAGGCTCAGGCTTTTACCCACGGTTGGTCATCTTGTCCCCTCCCCACCTGCACACAAGGGAGGGTGTAAATCCCCAGGCGCTGGCTCAGGACTGCTGGGAACTGCAACCCCCTGACTGACTTCTCTGGGAGGAAGCCAACTCCTAACAGTTCCCATCACTCTAAACCAGTTTTCTAAAATCCTCCCCAACTATAGAGACCCCTGGTCTGTCCCTGTCCCCCAGGACCTGCAGGGCACCATGGTACCAACTCCGATCTGAGCCGCAAAGAGCACAAGAATGGCTGGCCTAGGAGCCTGAAACACTGGCAGGCAGAGTGATCACCAAGGACATTCTCCTCCCACCTGGGGCTGCTCACCTGAATCCTGGGTGGATGGAAGGAGGTAGAGTCTGGTTCCCCATGTCCAACTGGCCCCTCTTGGGATTGGGCTGGATTTAGGGGACTAGCAGGTGCTAGGAAGTGAGGCAGACAGGGGTCAGGGGCTGCCCATGTGAGCCAGGGCAGATGAGCTGGTGCTGGTGCGGGTGCTGCAGCCATGGCCCTCCTCTGCCAGCAGGCAGGAGGCCCCTGTGTGTGCCAGACACGTGGCACACAGTGAGCCAGCACTTTCTTCCTGCCTCGCAGGGATCTGCTGTGCAGCCTGCAGTCCCTCCTGGGTCCCCATCCCAGCTAAGGACGTCCACACTCCCACCAGGAGACCCCTAGTCAAGTGCAGCCCCCACTCTCACCCATTTCCTGTCCATCCACATCAGGCTCCTCCTTCACGCTGCAGCTGAGCTGAGCAGACCCCTTCCTCTGGGCATCCTGTGGGTCCTCCCCAGCAGCTGCTCTGAGGGGATCTACTATCCCTGGAGGGTGAGGCCTCCCCAGTGAGTCCTCTGCCTTCTGTGCTGCTGGGAGCACTGCTTGCTTCAGGACGTGGGCTGTGATCTGAAGGGAACAGAGAAGTCACCAGGACTGTAGTCTTGCTCTGTACCTCCTTAAAGCCAAACTGGCCATACTCACCCAGCCCAGTAGTTGCCCAGGATCATGCTGCAGGCCCTCGACCAGGTCTGAAGCCTCCTTAGGGCTACCTGGCCTCTGGCCTCGCACCCAGGCCTGGATCTCAGAGGGCAGCGAGCCCAGGAACTGCTCCAGCACCAGTAGCTCCAGCATCTGCTCCTTGGAGTGCAATTCTGGCCGCAGCCACTGGCGGCAGAGCTCTTGAAGCCGGGCAAGAGCCTCTTGGGGACCGGCCACCTCTTGGTAGCAGAACCCCCGGAAGCGCAGGCGCGCCGCCTCAGGGTCCTCTACAGTTGTTGCAGGGTCCACGGAAGGTGGAAGAAGGGACTCCAGTGAGGATGGCATTTTTGTGTCAGGAGTCTTCTTGGAGCCACCAAGAGGAGCCTGCAGAAAAGGATGAGTCAGGGTACAGGCCAAAAGGCCGTCGTCAGGATAAGGCAGACTTTGGACAAGTGCTTGGAGGCAGTTTGTCCAGTTGAGCTTCCGGCAAAGTGCCAACATCTGGGAACAACAGGGGGTGTTGGAGAGAGAGGTTTCCAGAGTCAGGCGGAGGCGCCACAGGAGGTGTCCAGCAGAGGAGGGAGGTAGCAGTCAGTCCACAGGACAGGGAGGCTTGGGGCCGTGAGGATGGGAAGGGGCTAGGGCAGAGCATGTTGACTGACGTGGTCACCCTGAGGGGCTGGCTACTGGGGCAGATGCGACTGCGCCCTCGGTCGAGGGTAGAGGCTGGACTCCAGGGTTCTGTGCTCGCCGACCACAGCAAACTGTGGATGACTCGCACCATCTACACTGTGCATGTGAAAATCAAAAGCACAGCACAACGAAGTGACGAACTGTAGAGTCGTGAGCAGGTAACTGACCCTGAAGAGGGTCTGGAATGAAAAACGCCCACGGGGGAGGGGCTGTTAAACACGCGAGACCAGCCTCCCGAATCTATCTCTCAAAATTGGAAGGGAGGAAGGGAGGTCTTCCCGGAGGAGGCAGAACGATGCTCTGAGTGGGAGATGTTTGGAGATGAAGCACACAAGGAACGTCGGGAGATCCGCAGGCGCTCCCTATCGCAGGGAGGAGGGCCTGGGTCCCGGGAAGTAGAAGCCGCGCCCAGCCCAGCCCCGCAGGGCCCACGCTCACCTCAGCTAACGCGCCCGCAGGCTACTTCCGGTCAATGGCACCTCAGCGCCTCTCCCACCTCACGCAGGACGCCCCGCCCCGCCTCTCCGTGCGTTGCCTTGGCGACACAATTCTGGCCAGTCACATCACTGCTCCGAAGACACACACCCCCCCCTCGGACTACGTTTCCCATGAGCTTCAAAAAGCAAGGACAGTCACGGCTTCCGCCAGCGGAGGCTATTTACAGAGATCTTTCACGACTAAGAGGTACTCCATTCCTCGTAGAGGAATCTGCAGAGTAGCTCAGTTTATGGAGCTTCCTTCACTGGCGGCCGTTTCTTGCATCTGTGTCCTACAACTCGTCAACTGCCAAGGTGGGCCGTTAGACTTCTGCGCGAGTGTGCGAAATGGACAGGGCTCCCGTTGGTAAGCGAGGTGTGACCTCCCGACCAATCAGAGCTCGCACTTATCCAGGTCCCTCCCCCAATGCGCTGCTTGAGGCTTGTGGCTGGTCCTGCGGTAGGAATGAGTCCGCCCTCCTGCAGGTTTCCAAGGCAACAGCTGGAGCGTCGCCCTGCCTTCAGAGGAGGCCGGGTCGAGTACTAGCTCCGCAGACTTACCTCCTGGTGGTCCCAGAAGGAAACAGGGTCCGGCCCCGCTGACCTGCTCCAGCGAGGAGAGTGTGGGTCCTTCATTTGATCTTCTAGCGTTCTCCGGTGGGCACCCGTTTACCGATTGGGAAACTGTCCCATGATTTACATATCCTGAGTCTGACCGGTCTTCAGATACCAGTACTCAAACCTTTTACTTACTTTGGGGGCCAGAACTAGTAAGATGACCTTTATTTTTAGTTTACCTTCATAGACAGTGTTATCGAGGTCAGTTTTGCTTCCACACATCAAGTGCGTGAAGCATGACTTCTGATACCTAGGATTGCCTAGCTGCCAGCTCTTTACAGAGCTGTGGTTTTAACCACTTATTGGAAGCTCTGAGCGTGTGAGTGGCTGGGGATTGTCAACTCTTCCCAGTAGCATCATTAAATTAGCTACTTCCCAGTAGCTCTTTTGTGGGGGCTTAGGTCTTTTCACAGGGACTGACCAGACCCTGTAGAAACAGATCTCTCACCATCCACCCTAGAAAGACCTGGGCTCACAGCTCCTCCAGTATCTCTCCCCTCAGTCATCCTTTAGGTCTTCTCTCGAAGGAGACTGCAAGTGTCATGATTTCTTAAGTTTTGCAGCATAAGCCTGGTGGGTCCACCTCTACCTACCCTAGTGCCAACTCAGTACTGACTTTCCCTAAGTCAGTGACAGCTCCCTCATCCTCATCTAGGAGTAGAATGCCATCGTCACGTACTTTTTTTCCAGCCTCCTCCTCACAAACCCACAAGGTTTGTCTTAAACACGGTCTTCTGTGGTTTCAGTTGACTTCTGAACCAAGTGGGGATGGGTTCAGCTCACCATCTTGACCCAGAAAGACCAAGGACACTTTTACAGTCACAGCCTGTTCAGGGCTAAGCGCAGGGGAGCCCACCTGGCAGGACAGGGCTCAAAGTGACCAGAGGTTTGAGGGAGGGCAACTCGGGAGCCAATGCATGGTGGAGGAGGATGCCCATGTGGCTGCTTTTCCCATAGGAACAGAGTGGAGGCCGCTGAGCAGTCCCGAGTTGTGGGAGGGGTACATTTATGGAGAAACTCAGGGATAGCAGAGGCCACAGAGATAGGAAGGGGGTCAAGGAAGCAGGGAGGAAGCTAGTGGGGAGACAGAAGGCTCAGGCTGAGGGGTCAGGAGAGCTCAAGGTGGAAACTGGGCTCCCAGAGGAGCTTCTGTCCAAGTTGCAGAAAATGTGGCATGTGACTCTCTGGGTCCCCACAGACTTCCAGAAGAGTCCTCAGTTAGGGTGGGGAGGCAAGCCTGGGGAAAGGAGAGATGGAGGCAAGGCCAGAATGTGGACCAGAGCAGAGAGCAAGAGTCCAGGAGGAGCAAACAATGGTTCAGGAGCCCAGGCACGGAGGACATGTCTTGGAAGGGTCTGGGGTGGGGTATTGCATGACTCCTCTCCCCACCCAAGTCTCCCCACATCGAAGGAACTAGGAAAAAAGATGGGACTGGCTCTGCTGACAGGTGGAGAGTGGGGGTGGGGGTATCGTGTCTGTGCTCACTCAGTATAGCAGATGTCTCTGAGGTCTTGGATATGATGGGACTAGAACACCTGCTGGACTGGGGCCAACCTCTGGGGTCACATGTAGCCCCTGCCTCAGATGCCATAGTTTGGAACCACAAAGGCCCAATTCCTAGCAGAGCTGCTGTTTGGGGCACCCTCACCCCATCTGGCTGCCGCTCACCCACCTGGCTGCTAAGGGGACACAGGTGTCTCAGCACTTCAGGGGGCAACAAATAGGCTGTGCCTCTACCCCATGGCTCTTCCGAAAGACCCACCAGTTTGAAGCCAAGTCCCTGCACGTCTATGGCGATAACATATCCTGATGGCACATCTGCTCTGTGGTAGGGTGAAACCAGGCTATTAGCATGCACTTAATTTGAAAAAAGAAACCTTTATCAGGGAGCCTCCCTGGACCTGGTGGGAGGGGAGGCTGAAGGTGTGGACTCCCACAGTGCTGCACAAGAATTTACAGTCAACGAATGTCTCTCCCAAGTTAGTTCCAAGTTGTAACTTCTAGTACTTTTTTCCCCAAGCAAAAAGACCATTAACTTCCCTGGGAGTGAGGCCAAAAGTTGAGATGGGCTCCAGTCTGCTAAAGGCCACAGGAAGCAAACTGGGTCCCCCACCCCAACTGTCTGCCTCAGTGTCCTCATCATGTGGGGGTATCACACTAAGGATGGATCTCAGGAGGGTGCCACACCTGGGCAGAGACCCTGCAGAAGCAAGCAGCCCCATCTTGTCTTCTATGAATCTGTTATTTCAGTCACCTCCTGTCAGGGCAGTAGGGATGTAAAGGCTCCTGTAACTTTGACTTTGGTAACAATGGGATGTGGCCAGAGCTGAGGCTTGGATATATGAATCTGTATGGATGAGCGTGGCTGGGAGCCATCATTCTCCCTCCCCCTGCAGACCTCTACCTCTTCTACCTCCCGACGGTTGGCCATGTGCAGGGAGCCAGGCCAGGCCTCTCTCTGCCCTCACAGCTGGCAGACGAGTGTGGGGGTGGGGCGGTGAGCTGCCTGGATGCTAGGCCTGGCCCTACAGTGTGTAACTTACACCCCATCTCTGTGCCTTAGTTTCCTATTATGAGAAGTGGGGGTAATGGCCACATCAGCCACCTCAAAGGACTTTTAGGGGGCACCTTGCAGCACTCAGAACAAGGGCTGGAAGTTGGCACGTGTTGGCCCTATAAAGATCCTGTCTGTCAGAGCACTGCAAACACCCTCTGTAGGCTAGAATTGTTTTTTTCCCTTCTTTTCCCTAGAAAAAGCTGAGGCTTCAAGCCCAGCCCTTTGCCCAAGGCCGGCACCCAACTCCCACATGACCTCTTGTCCACTGTGCCTGCTCCCAGGGAGCCTGGGATGAACAGATGCCTGGGGGGAGTATCCTGAGTGTCTGTGGACCAGCCAGTTTGAGTGTGGACATCACAAATTCCTCCAGACCGCCTTCACCCCCATCCCAGCACTCCCCTCCTCCCCTAAGTGTCCAGTCATAACATGCAACCAGTGGCACCACCATGCCAGCCTCCCCTGCCTCTGACAGACACCACTTGGCTCCACCAAAGTCCCAGCCTCCATGTCCATCTTCCTGACCATTCTGCAGTGAGACTTCTGGGGGATGGAGGAGGCAGTTGTGGCTGAAGTGGCAGATCTTGCCACCATGTGAACTTCAAAGCACACACAAAACTTCTCCAGAGTGGATTTGCTTAGGATTCAGCCTTCAGCCTTGGAAGGGGCTCATTACAGGTAAGAAAGAGTGGAGCTGGGGCCTAGGCTTCAGCTGGCTTCGGCAGCTCAGGTGTGGCTGGGCCTGAGGCAGGAGTGGGCGGGTCCCCTAAAGTACCCTCTGATGAGGCCCCCAAAGGAGGCCTGGTTCTGCGCCTCCGCACTGGCTTCTCACCAGTGTGGATCCTCTGGTGGTGGAAGAGGGCTGGGCGTTCACGGAAGGCACGGCCGCACTGCGAGCACACAAATGGCTTCTCTCCCGTGTGGATGCGGCGATGGCTGAGCAGCACGGCGCCTTTGGCGAAGGCCTTTCCGCAGTCACCACAGCGGTAGGGCCGCTCACCAGTGTGCAGCAGCTGGTGCTGTGTGAGGTTGGAGCTGTGGCTGAAGGCGCGGCCACACTGTGTGCAGGTGAAGGGCTTCTCACCAGTGTGCACACGCTGGTGCTTGAAGAGCGAGGAGCCCTGGCTAAAGGCGGCTCCGCAGAGCGTGCAGGTATACGGCTTCTCACCTGTGTGCGTGCGCTCATGCTGGATCAGATGGGAGTTGCGGCAGAAGCGGCGGCCACACCTTGCACAAGCGTAAGGCCGCCCACCCGCATGGATCTTGCGGTGCTGGCTGAGGTTGGAGCCGTGGCTAAAGGCCTTGCCACACTCGCTGCAGCGAAAGGCCTTTTCAGCCGTATGGATTCGCTGGTGCCGCACCAGTGAGGAGCTGTGCCTAAAGGCCTTGCCGCAGGCCAGACATGCATAGGGGGTCTCACCGCTATGGATGCGCTGGTGCTGTGTCAGGTGCGACGTCTGACTGAAGGCCTTGCCACACTGTGTGCACTCGTAGGGTCGCTCCCCGGTGTGCGTGCGCAGGTGCTTGAGGAGGTCAGAGCTCTTCACGAACACTTTGTTGCATGCCCTGCATTCAAAGGTCTTCTCCCCGGGGAGCAGGCCAGGGCTGCCGTGGAGGGCCTCCCCCAGCTCATCCCAGGTTGGGGGCTCCTGGCAGGCAGGGAGTCTCCGAGGCTCCTGCCAGGCCATCCCCATTCCTAGTTCCCCCACAGTGTGACCAGCCTCAAGGTCTGGGACACTCAAGAAGGTTCTCCCAGGGGGTGGTTTCTGAAGCTCGGAGGCCCTCAGCTGCTTGCCTGGCTCTGCATGGTCTGTGAGGGCTTTCTTTGTCGGTGGGCTGCCCAGGGGAGCCCGCAGCGGGGAAGTCAGCCGCAGGCTGATGCCGGCCTCACCACTGCCCGGGCGTAGCAGGAGCCTTTCCCAGTAGATCACGGAGACCCCCGCAGGTTTTCTTTCCTGAGATGAGGAAATGTCCTGCAGAGCCTCTGGGCATTTTTTAGGCTCACGGGCAGCAGTGGTGGGGAGGACCCTGGCAGGCATCGGAGGGAGCCTATCCTGGAAGGTCCTTGGCCATGCTGCTTCCCCAGAAACATCTCTGCCCTCTGCCAGACATTGGGAACCTGAAGGCACAGAAACAGTGGGTTGCTAGGTCATCCTGACCATGAGGAAGTGACTGGGACAGTCCAAGTGGGTGGGCAAGGAGACCCCCAAGGTCTAGTGTGGAAGCTAGAGAGAAGAACAGACACCCTTTCTGTACGCAGCTCACTTGTTTGGGGGGACTCCCCAGCCTGCTGTGCTCCTTACGCTGATGGCTACCTGATGCCAGAGTTTTACTCATGAACTCTGTTTATGGACTCCTCTCCCCTAGCGTGGTCAATTCCATGAAGGCAGGACCAGGACTGTCTTGGTTAAGGTTGTGCCCCTGGTTCCGAGGCCTGGTCATTGCAAGAGCTCAGGAAACAATGACCACATGGATGAATGGCCCCAGAGATGAGGTGGTAAGGTAAGACAGGGAAGGTTTGAGGCCATACACTGTGGCTGAGGTTGGGATTCTGAGGTCTGGGGTGTCCTGGGACTTCCCCATTTAAGGGCAGCTAAGGCTGGAGCCTGTAGGAGAGGCTAATGGTGGCAGAACAGGAGGGAATCAGGTGGGAGGCAGGAGAGGACAGTGTCCAGAAGGGTGGGAAAGAAGGACACCCCCTAACCTGGAAGCCCCACTCACCAGGGCTGGGCCTCCTCTGGGAATTCCTGGCCAGGGTCGCATCTGACCCACTGAGAAGCCAGGGCTCCTCACCACACTCCAGCTGGATGACTACACGAGGCCGGGAGGCAGAGAGTCCTATGAGACAAGACAAGCAAGTGAGGGGCCAGCCCCAGCTCACGACAACCAAGTGCCCAGTAGGTGGCAGGAGTCACGTTTTGTGCGTTAGAGGTGGCATCATCTGTGCAACTAAGAAAACCTGAAGGTCCCACCACAGGTCAGGGCTCATAGGAACAGCTTAATGGTGTCTGTGCGAAGAAACATGTCAGCAGTGCCAAAGGAGCCCAGGCACAAAGGTGCCACAGCCGGACAGACATACTCAGCCAGTGGGTGTGAGGCTGCTCACAGGCCACCGGGACATAAGGGGTTAGTGCTGGTGGAGCAGCCCGGTGACAACTAAGCTTTCCCATGGAGGACCCAGAGCCTTACCCAGTGAGGCCACCAGTGCAAAGTTCTCTAGCATCACGTGGCGGTACAGAGCCCTCTGGGCTGCGTCCAGGAGCCCCCACTCTTCCCGGGAGAAGTACACAGCCACATCCTCAAAGACCATCAGGCCCTACAACAGTGGGCAGGGGAAGACAGACATGGTGTAAGTCATGGCCGTGTGACCCAAGGCCCAACTGTGTCCCAGTGGCTACTTCTGCTGATCTCCCTCAGACATTTACCTTTCCCCACCAGGGCTCTGCAGATGCAACTTCCCTCACCTGTCTGGGCCCCCTCCTTGACTAGGCCTTAAAAGCCTCCTTGGCCTGCTCACTGGCCATTCTAATTAAGGCAGCTAGAGCAAGCCCCCAACTGTCTGCAGGCTGCCAGTCTAAGGGCAGTCCCAGGCATCCAGTCATTCTCTAGCCTCTGCACAAGCTGATTCCCCAGACATGCCCCCACTGTTCTCGCAATAAGCAGCTGTATACGTCTCAGCTGTTTCCCTCGCACCACATGCCCACCTCTGTTGGCGATGCTGGCCCTGCTGAACTTGCCTGACATTTTAAGGCTGCTCCCCTTAGCTCAAAGGACTGGCTGATTCCCTCTGGTCTCCACAGAGTGAATTAAAGGATCTAGTGGGCCAGTTTCTCCCTCCATAGCCATGCCCCCTCTATTTTCTTCTTAACTTGGTTGCCACCTGCTAGACTTCCCAAGAACCTCAGAAACTGGGTGAGCAGCTCTTTATCTCCCTAGCTGAGTCAGTGAAATCTCCTCCTCCTACATTTGATTCCCAGGCCCTGGCTCAGCTCAGAATACCAAAACTCTGTCTCTGAAAATCAACAATTCCAGGTGCACGTGACAACTCAACTCCGGGGCAGATTCTTCCTGATTCTCCCCTGAAACCTGCTTTCCCTTCAGATTCCTGACTTAGTACCCAGCAACTCCATTCTTCTGGTGTTCAGACTAAAAAAACTTGGGAAGGTCTTCACATAGGACATCCAATCACACCCTGCACCTGATAACAAGGCAGATCTATTGGGAATTCAACTGCTTTCCCCTCTGCAAAAACCCAGTCTAGTCCATGTACCATCGCCTCCTCCCTGCGCACAACACGCCCCCCTCCCACCTCTGTGTCTGTTCTCCATGCGGGAAACGGCGGAATTGGTTTAAATTTCTAACTTTAACCATGTCTAAAATCATCTATAGCTCCCGGCACCCTCGGAATAGGCCACCCCTTGGCCTGACACTTCATGCATACTATCTTCCCGAACTCCATGTGAAAAGCTCTGGGCTGAAAGCACATAGGCTGTCTCCCTTCCTAGCTATTACACGTGCGAGACCCTCACCTCCTTGGCTGCCAGAAGTGGGGATCCCTCACGTGCACACCCCACTGGCCTGGACACCGGGTCCAGGGCGTATCGAGAGGGGAAGACAAGATGTCAGGTAAAGTCCCTCCCGGGCGGGACTCTGGTCCATGGAGGAGAGGTCCCGGCGGGCGCATGGGGTCTGGGGCTACCTCTACTCACCTGCGCCGCCCCCGCCATCGGAATCTGTGCTTGCGGTGGCCGAGCCGGGCACCCCTGCTCCTGGCCTCAGTCTCCCGGTCCGTCAAGGGCACGGACGCCCAAGATACCGCCTCCGCGGCGCCACAGAGGCCGGAGAGCACGTGGGTCCGGGAACCGCCCGAAGGCCTCAGGGGGCTGCCCACGCGACACCCGAGAAACCAAGGCTGGGGGGGGGGCGTGGCCGTCGGCCAGCAAGCACGGCGCGTGCGGCGCGGGCCCAGAGCCGACGTCTTCCTCCAGCCCTCGCCTCTGGTCTCCAGAACCTCCCAGAGAAACGGACCCACCAGCAGAGCTCCAGCCCCCAACACCGCGGCGGTCCGACGCCCAGCAGCGAAGTGACAGTCTTGGAGGCCGGAAGTTCGACCCCCGCAAGGTCCAATGCGCGAAGAGGATTCACGCGCAGAGCCTTCTGGGAACGGTAGTTCCAGGGTGCCTTTTGGCCACGATAATGATGATGGTGGCGGTGGTGAAACAATACTACTAACAGCTCCCATGTATACTTAGCACCCCGTCCCTGGATCTGTGCTAAGCAGGAAAGCTGTATTTTCCAAGTTTGCTCCCTGGAATTTGACGTAGAGCTGATTACGAGTGAGCATCCCAATTCCTCAGGAGAGTGGGTCAACCCCGATTCCGTGGTTGGAACAAGAACTTCCAAGTTCCCCAGTGATGCTGATGGTACTGACTCAGGGACCAGTTTGGGGATTGATGAATACAAGACGTTTAAATTACTGCACAAAATCTCCTTTGGGGACGGGACATATCTCCATTTCACACACAGAAGAAAAGTGTTTCCCAGAAGCCCCTCAGGGCTGGCAGCCCGAGGCCCAGAACACGGGTTGCTAGCTGGACAACGCTGAGGGAGGAAATCTGGGAGCGGCCCCTTTAAGAGGAAGCGAAGCCTCCAACCGGCTCTTCTTTAACTGGGAGCTTCATTTCCCAGAGCTCTTCACCGTGGCGCTCAGGCGTTGCCATGGAAAACCTGAAGCCGCCGCTCGGATGCAGGATTAACTACAATGACCAGAAATCTCGGGAGGGGCGGGGTGGGGACCTGCGCCAATCACAGCGCAAAATAGGGAGCACTTCCTGTGGCTCAGTCGGTGGGGGCGGGACTTCTAGCGGCCCCCTTAGTGGAAGATCATTTTACTCTTTCCGGTGGTTCTGGTCACCGTTGGGGACCTGAGCACTGCGTCCCGGCCGCTTTTTTGGCACTTCTTTAGGACCAGCCCGGGAAGACAGTACGGGATGGGGCGGATCTCGGCGCTTTGTACAGGCCGCGACACCCTGTAACAGGAGTCCTGCGCACCCGCCCTCGGTCCCCACGGCCCCCGGAGGCGGCGCCCTGGGCCCCGTGCATGTTTGCTCTGTGGAGTGACGGGCGGCGGGCGGGCAGCCGACCCAATTCAAGGGTGGGGTTGGCCGAGTATACAGGACCGTCTCGGATCCAACGGCCGCGGCGCTGACCTCTCACACGGACTCCACCCACATGGCCTGGGTCCCCCAGGGAGGGGAGACGACCGGTGTCCCTGGACTCTTCTCCGTCCCCTTCCTTCGCTACTGGGGACCCTAGAGTCTCCCCAAGCAGAGGTTATGTGGAAAGACCGTCATTTCTCGAATGCATTAGGACAGGTGTGGGAGACTGTTTCAAGCAAGGGGATGTGCAAATACTTGGAGGTGAGACTGAGCTGGGAGTGTTCAGGGAACTGCAGGTCGGCCTTAGGACCGGTGGACAGGGGCCAGGCCTAGAGTAGCAGCCTGAGGCACTAGGCCTGTCATCTGAGGGAGGTGGGTGGGAGCTGCCGAAGGACTGGAGGTAGAGGAGGAAGACCTAATTCAGGTGTTCACAGGCTCCTGCAGAGTGTAAAACAGATGGGGCAGGGGTGAGGGTGAACAAGGAGAAAGGGAGGTCCTTAAGGATGTGTGACCTTAACAGACCAGGGGAGTGACAGTGGTGGCTTGGCCAGAGTGGTGAAGGAGTTGGGGGAAGGGATTGGATTTGGGATCTCTTGAGGTTAAGCCAGCCAGATTTTTTTATGTGGAAGGTGAGAGAGAGAGAACTGGATGAGGTAGGGGTGGGTGTGTTCATGGATTTTGGCCTCAGCAACTGGAAGGAAGGTGGAAGTGAGATGGGAAGTCAGGGGAGATCAGGAGGTGGATTTTGCCCATGTTGAGGCTGAGTTTCCTGAGTGAAGGTGATGGATGGGCAGCTGGACATCAAGTCTAAGTTATACTGAGGGATTTAGCTTGGAGATGTGCAGCCAGAAGAAGCCAGCTGGTGAACTGAAGGGGAGCTGTGGAACTGATTCAGGAGGGGGCATCTTTAGGTCATGGTCAGGGCAGCTGAGGACTGGGTGGCTGGCTTGGGTACCTGGATGGGGAGAGGGAGGCTGTCATAATGTCAGATGAAGGGAAGAGCAGCAACGAGGAAAGGTGTGTGGGGGAGAGGAGGGTCCAGAGGGTGACCAAGGTCCCTCAAATGGAGGCTGAGACATACTGGAGACAGAGGTGGGATGACACAGGTCTGGAGCTGGCACTCATGGCATTGGCATTTGGGAGGAGGGTGACCTAGAAGTGTGTTAGGGGTAGTTTTGCCCACCAGATGTATCAGGATGTGTTATCACAAGCCTAGTCTGCATGTGTTCATTTGTGCATTTTTTTAATTTTTGTTTTTGTTTGTTTTTCTGCTGTCTTTTGGTCTGGTTTTCTTAGCTGTCCCCGTCATGGCAGGGCTGTGTAATCTTTGAAGGCATGGTGGTATACTTATCCCAGGAGGCGTGGGGGCTCCTGGATGGGGCTGAGACGCCTGGACCACCGTGTGTTGCTGGAGAACTTGGCACTTGTGGCCTAACTGGGAAAGGTCCTCACCGCCCCCCCCCCCCATTTCCTGTTCTAGGCTCTGCCTTTCCTCTTCTCCCAGGAGCAGCTGTCTTCCCACAGCTGAGGACGAACACTGCTCCCTTCCCTGAACTACCTGCTGTGTGTGCAGAGCTGGGCTGCAGGTATAGTCTGCTCCTCTCCAAGGAGACCCAACAGCTGCTTCTGAAGACTTCCTGGGAAGGACTCAGGGCCAAGAGCCTGTCAGGCTGCCTGAGTTTGTCTAGATGGGTGGAACATCTGTACTCAGGTTCTGCCCCCTTTTTCTGTCAGACATTTCCAGGAGTCTGGCTGTATCATGGACCATAGACACCAATATCCTGGTCAGTGGGGCTCACTGGGCTGTTCCTGTCAGATACCCACTCCTCAGAGGCTTATTTTGCAACTATGTTTTCTTCCCAGTTGCAAAGATGGCATGGGCTCCCTTTGGTCTGTCACAGGGTGGGTTGCCCTGAGCTGGGCCAGTCACTTACCCACCCTGTCTTTCTTTCAGGACTCATATCTTCCATGTCCTGTCTGGCTGCCACTTGGAACAGGGCAAAACGCACTGGTGCCTGATATGATGGACATGTCTGCAGCCATTGCAAGAGAGGCTGAGAGAGGGCCTAGCTCTGGTGAATGAGAGCTGGGAGAGACATGAGGTGGGGCTGGGAGAGACATGAGGTGGGGCTGGGTTCACACTCTACTTCGCACTTGCTGTGTCCACTAGTGCTTGGGTCTGGGGCCAATGGCCACATCTTACTCCCACCTTCTTACCTTTTCTTTGTCTCTGTCCCTCCATGATGGATAACCCCACTACTTTGATCTCAGTGTCTCCCCCATTCTCCTCATCCTGTCCCTTTGCAGGGCCATCCCTTATCAGACTATACTCAGTGTACGAGATGAGCGCATGTGCTCATACAGACTTGAGCACCAGGTGCCCAACTGCAGCTGGATTTTCCCAGCTTGTGTACACCGCTCTTTGTCCCCCTTCCCTGTCCGCATCTTCTGGGGCCTGCCAGCACTGGGTCCTGCTGAAAGCTAAGGAGTGAGTGGGAGTCCTTGACTCTTATCCCAGCCTGGTCCCCACACCTGCATTCTCCTACATGCTGAGGACTTGCCCCCTGTAGCGCTCTCTCTCTTTCTCTCTCTCTCAAGCCAGCAACCTTTCAATCACATGCCAGCACTCAGTCCACTGAACCATACCAGCCAGGGCATCTGTGCCTTTCTTGAGCTTAATCCTACACTGTAGGTTATACTACACCCTGACTTAATCCTATAGACTCATTCCAGAGTGTGTCAGATACACATCTGGGAAGGAGTTGACCCCTCCCAAAAAAGCCTACACACACTTCACCAGCATTTCTCTGCTTTGAAGGGTGGCAACAAACACGTCCAAGCAAAAGCCCCACCAGGCCTCACTAAGGAGGCCACACAACCCTCCTGAAGAGTATTTCAGCAGCAGCATCGTTAGTGTCCCCGCTCTCTGCCGTCCAACGAGGCGGAACTTCAACTCACGACCTCGGTTCCCTGTAGTGGGGACAGGCCTTTCCCGAGCGCTCTCAGGTGGGTCTCCTCGCCGAGTCCGTGCACGTGCAGATCTATCTGTACACCCTCCACATCCTACCATCCAGGATTCTGAAAGGAGACCCCCACCGTCCTGAACGCTGAGGCCTGGGGTTCAGAGGGCACTCGGCGCACCGGGGCTCGGAGTCCAGCCTAGTGGGGCCAGGAGACCCTTACTCACCGCCGGCTAGTCGCTCGGCTCACGCGTCACGCCCGCAGTCTGGTCACAGGCCGGGTTCTGACCTCGGGAACGGGTAGTTTGGGTCTCGGGCTCCGCAAACCCGACACCTGGCAGAGGGCCCGCCCCCTTACGGCCGCGGACACCCGGGCTGGTGGAGGTCGTAGTTCGCTGCAGTAGCAGGGCGTACAGGATACAGAGGTGGGACCTCCAGACTCGTGCATTCCCCGCTCTGGTTTCCCTGGGCGCCGGAAGCCCCTAGGGAATGGTCCACAGCCCGGCAACTCGGTTCCTCCCCGCTGTGAAGCCAAAGCAGCGGTCTGACTTGCGAAATTCCGCCCCGCCCCTAAGGCGATCATTGGCCAGAGTACACCCGGAAATGCCCTGTCTTAAGCTGTCATTGGCCAGCTCTGGTGAAGACGCACGGTGAGGGACTGTTTGGGTAACGTAGTTCACGTCAGGTGAGCAGCGTCGTTGCGTTGTGCATCCTTCCTGATCACCTAGGCAACTAACGGGCGGCACTTCGATTGGGTCAGGAAAACAGTAGTAGGAGGCGAGCCTGGAGCCAAGCGAGCTCCGGAGTGGGGCGCTTTCCAGGGGCGCAGAGTATGGAGGGGGACTTCCGTTGTCATCATTGCGTATCCGTTTCGCCTGTGGCGCCACCGCACCTGAGAAGAGGGCAGGGAAGTGCCAGGACTCTTGCCGCAAGTTTGCAGGCACTTTCACTCACGCTAATGGTTGTGCCTTGCTGACCCCCGATTTTACTGGGTGTGGAACCGAGTTGACGAACCTCTGCATCCCGCCTTCGTCCCCCGGCCCCTGGAGGAAGCTCCCGGCTCCTCGGGTCCATTTATACCGTGGAGACGAGACCCTGAGTGCGACTGTCGGCCGGTGGTCACCCGCCCAGTGGAGGTTGGGGTTCGGATGAGCCTGCTGCAGGTTCTGACCCATGGACTCGGGTTCCGTCCCTCATGGACTCGCCGAAGGTGAGTGGAGGATTCCGCCCTCAAAATCAGGGGTCGAGGAAACAGTGGTGTCTAGGACCTCTGCCTACGTGAGTCTGGGGCCCCGACTGTCACTTTGCCCAGCATCCTGAATGCAGGCCGAAGCTTATATGGTAGGGCTTCACAGTTTTGGAATCCTATGGGATAAGGCCTGGAAGAGTGTCCAGGCACAGGGATCAATCAGCATGTGCAAATTGCTTGGAAGTGTTGAGGAAACAGCAGGTCTCCATTTCTTCTGCTGGAAATAGGGGGCCAGGGGGACCAGAGTCGGGCCTCTAATCAGAGGTGGTGGGAATCAGGGGCAGAGGAGGGAGGTGATGTGATCCGGTCTTAACTGACTCCCTCTGGATGCTGGGTGGAGAGCAGCGTGGTGAGGTTGGAGACAGGAAGACCGTCAAGGAGGTGACTGCAACGGTCCAGGTTCTTTTTGTTGGCTGGACCGGAACGGGAAGCATTTCTTAGAGGGGTGATGGCTGTCTCTTGCAGTGGGGGGTTTTAGAGACCTGGGGTAGGCCAAGTCATTATTGGGTGCTGGTTGTCTTTCTTGAGTATGCTGTGTGCACAGTGGAAGGGGGAACTCCCGGCAGTTGCCTACTGTGTGGACCTGGGGTAGAGGGGTGGAGAAATGCTGATAATGTGGTCCCCGTACAAGGTAAGGGAATGTGAATCAATGGGCCCTGGTGTTAGATGCTTGAGGAAGGAAGAAGAGCCCCAGTTTTCTCACATGTGAGGCATATAAGGGAAAGTGGCCAGTGTGGGGAGGGGAGCGAGGTGGCAAGCCAGAGCTCAGACAGCATCCATCTGCCCACCTGCTTTTTGTTCTTTTAGGTCATATTGGCCTGAATACAGTGACTGAGGAGTACAAGGGGAGAGGGATACCAATGATTCCAGGGCCTGCTGTCTCCTCTGAAGTGGAGGCCTGGGGAGGATGGACTGAGAGGGTTACAGGAAGAGATGTCAGTGGTAGATAATGCAGAACGCTGGGTCACAGGTCAAGGGCTTGAATGTGTGCATTTGACTATTTTGTTTCTTTGTTTTTCAGCCCACTTTTTGGCTCCCTGTCTCATCACTGCAGAGCCCAATGACCTTTAAGGATGTGGCTGTGTACTTCTCCAAGGAGGAATGGGGGCTCCTCGATGAGGTTCAGAAGCATCTGTATCATGATGTGATGCTGGAGAATTTTGAGCTTATGACTTCGCTTGGTAAGACCCTTATGCCCTGCTGCACTAGGGTGGCCAGCTTCTGCCCTATGCCTCTTCCTCATAGAAAGTTCTGTTTTTCCCAAAGCCCAAAAATGGAGGAGGCTTCCTTCCCAGATTTCATGTTGTAGGAGCTGGGACTGGGCTGTGTGCACTCCCCTGTCTTTCCCTGGACAGTCTCATGAGTCATCCTAGTAGCTATTACCCAGATGCCTTGTAGGAGCAGAGCCTGAGGATCAGGCATCTCTCTGTTCTGCCTAATTGGTCCCACTGAGCTTGATCCATTGTGGGGTCATGTCCGGGTTTTGCCCTTCCCCCATGAGACTTTTTAAAAAACACTTTTAGCCCTGGCCAATGTGGCTCAGTTGGTTGGAGTGTCTGTCCCATAAACCGAAAGGTCACTGGTTCAGTTCCGGGTCAGGGCACATGCCCTGTGTTACAGGTTTGGTCTCCAGTAGGGGAGCACACCAGAAACAAAGTGATAAGTGTATCTCTCTCACATGGGTGTTTCTCTCCCTCTCTCTCTAAAATATCAACAAGCATGTCCTCAGGTGAGGATTAAAAAAAGAAACAACAGCTTCACTAGATACATCATAAAATTCACCCTTTAAAACTCTATGTTTACATAGTTGTATAAATATCACGATCTGATTTTAGAACATTTTCATCACCTAAGGGAAAGTTTGTACTGTATCCGCCCTCATTCCTTTGTCCTGAGTCAGGGGCAACCTCTGACTATATTTTGACTATAACCTACATTCTGACTATACAGATATGCTTATTCTAGACATTTCATATAAAGAGTCACATAATTTATGCTTCTCTTGTGACTACCTTTCACTTAGCTTGTTTCAGAGGCTCACCCATGTTGTAGCATATACCACACTGATTCCTATTTAGTGACTGAAAAATATTCCATTGTATAGAGTTCATGTATGCAGTTAATAGACTTTTGGCTTGTTTCCACTTTTTGGCTGTTATGAAAAAAAACACTGCTGTGAACATTTACAAGTTTTTGTATAGATATGTTTTTATTTCTCTTGGAGATATATATATATATATATATATATATATATATATATATATATATACACACACATGAGGTGGACTCTGGCCAACAGAGTCCACCTATTGTGGCTGACGAGAATAAATGCACAGGCGACAACCTATGGAGAAAAAGGGAACGGCACAGTTGCTCTCTCAAGGGAAAGTGGTTATGGATGCCTCGGGCACTCTCTCAAGTGGAGAGCAACTCGACCCTTGCCTAGACTGGCTTTTATTGTTTTCCTCAGGTCTCACATCAAAGATTTATTATCTATCTACATTTGAGGTACAATCAAGGAAATGAAAATAACATGCAGAGGGGAATGGCGGCGAGCTGATTAGCTCTGTCCTTGGGAAAATTCACACAGGCTTTGGAAATTACCTTGAAAATAGACAATACACATTTGTTGTTTTAGACCAGGGTGATGGAATTTTATCAAGAGAAAGCCATAACAATCTGTATGCATTTTCTAGGCCTGATTCCCATGGGAAAACTCGGTTTGAAGGTCTGGCTCCTGTCCATCACTTCGCTTCTGTAGGTTTTCCATACAGAGCTGAGTCACATTTGCCAGACTTAAACAAACCGGTCCCCTACATATATAGGAATGGAACTGGCCCACTGTTATAGCTATTCTAGTGGGTGTAAAGTGGTCTCTCATTATGGTTTGGATTTGCATTTCTCTAATGACTGATGATGTTGCACATCTTTTCATGCGCTTATTGGCCATATGTGTGTGTACACACATCTGACTTTGAGGGATGTTTATTCATGCTCTTCGCCCCATCTCTGTCCTTGCCTCTGGCGAGGCCTGCTGTATTCTGCGGCATGGCTGGGTGTCATCCTGCACAGTCAGCCCTTCACTCTTATTCTGGCCCCCTTGGCCTGTCAACAGTCCCTTGGGCTCCTTCCTGTATGTGTCATTTACACATTTCTAATGCACTTTCCACCAAGTTAACCGGAAATTTCTCTGCTTTCAGGTTGTTGGCATGAAGTGAAAGTGGAGGAGGTTTGTTCCAAGCAGAATGCTCCTGTGGCAGGGTTGTCCCAGGTCAGGATCCCCAATATATATCCTTCCACCCAGAAGACTGATACCTGTGACACGTGTGGCCCATTCATAAAAGACATTTTGCATCTAGATGAGCAGACCCCCTGCACATGTGGAGCTTGTGGAAGAGAGTTTTGGTTCAATGAAAATCTTCCCCAGTACCAGGAGCACAGTGGAGAGAAGCCCTTCAGATGGGACAAGGACAGGGACTCATTTGTGAAGAGCTCCATGGTCTACCTGTCAGAGAAGCCCTTCACTTGTAGGGAAGGTGGTAAGGATGTCTTAGACAGCCTTGACCTCCATCAGTACCCAGCCGCTGACAGCAGTGGGAAGGCACGTAAAAGCACCGAGTGCAGAGAGTTCTTCCCACACAGTTCCAACCTTGGGCAGCTTCCAGAAGTCCATACCACACGGAGGTTCCTCCATTGGAGCTGTGACTGTGGCAAAGCCTTCCAGAAGAGCTCAGCCCCCCTAAACCACCTGAACACTCACTCTGAAGAGATAGCGTTTAAAGGCCCAACAGTTAGTAATTCCTTAGAGGAGAAATCAAACCTCGTTAATTACCAAAAATTTCACACTGGAGAAACATGTCATGTATGTAAAGAGTGTGGGAAGGACCTTAAGTACCCATGTAAGCTGAGGCAGCACCAGAAATTTCCTACTGGAATAAAATACTATGAGTGTAGTGACTGTGGGAAAACCTTCAGCCACAAACTCGCACTCCTTCATCACCAGAAAATTCACACAGGAGAAAGGCCTTATGAGTGCAGTGCATGTGGGAAAACCTTTAACAACAGGTCACACCTCACTCAGCATGAGAAAGTTCACACTGGAGAAAGGCCTTTTGAGTGCAGCAAATGTGGAAGAGCATTCAGCCAAAGGTCCAATTTCCTTCGGCATCAGAAAGTTCACACCCAGGTAAAACCACATGAGTGCAAACAGTGTGGTAAAGCCTTCGGCCGGAGCTCTGCTCTCATTCAGCATTGGAGGGTTCACACTGGAGAAAGGCCCTTCAAGTGCAGTGAGTGTGGAAGAGCTTTCAACAATAACTCCAATCTTGCTCAGCATCAGAGAGTTCACACTGGAGAACGACCTTTTGAATGTAGTGAATGTGGAAGAGACTTTAGCCAAAGGGCCCACCTCCTTCGACATCAGAAAGTACACACCGGAGAATGAGAATGGCCTTTTGAATGCGGTGAATGTGGGAAAGCCTTCAGCAATAACACCACCCGCATTCAGCACCAGAAAGTACACACCTGGCAAAGGCCTTATAAATGCCGCAAATGCTGGAAAGCCTTCAGCCACAGCTCCAGCCTGATGCAGCACTGGAGGATTCACACTGGAGAAAGGCCCTATGACTGCAGCGAATGTGGGAAGGCCTTTGTTCACAGTTCCAGTCTCACTGAGCACTGGAGCATTCATACAAGGAAAGGCCGTATGAGTGCAGTGAATGTGGGAAATTCTTTAACTGAAAGTCCAGCCTCATTTATCACTGGAGAGTTCACACTGGAGAAAGGTGTTATGTGTGTAGTGAGTGCGGGAGAGCCTTCAGCAACAACTCTTACCTGATTTGTCACCAGAGAGTTCACACACAAGATAGTCCGTATAAATGCAGCCAATGTGGGAGAGCTTTTAGTGAAAGGTCCACACTTGTTCAACACCAGGTACTTCATACCACAGAAAGGACTTATGAGTGTGGCCACTGTAGGAAAATATTTAGCTGCTCTGCAACCTTGCTCAGCATAAAAAGATTCATACCTGAGGGGAGCCTTATGGAAATAGACTTTGTGAGAGTCTTCATTCAGATCCAACTTCATGCAGTAGACCTCTTACAGTGAAATCACCTGCCTGTACCACCGATGTGGAGAAGCCTTCAGAAACTGCTCTGCCTTTTCCAAGTAGCCTAGGGACCCGGGCAGAGCTATGTGCCCTGGAGCCCCTGTCTAGCCCGCCTGGATCCAGACATTTACATCAGTCACCTGCATGTACACGGAGAAAACAGCTTCCTATGCCTTCTCTCCCTTGTCCTGGAGCAGATCAGGATTGTCTTGGGCTCATTGGATGGTTTCATTCCCATTGCCTCTGAGAGTGCTCTGGGATGAACTTACCCCTGCTGGTTGAGGGGGGTCTCGTGGGATGTCCCGTTTGGGCTTCTTGGGGAAGATGCACGTTCTCCATGAGTAGATGGTATTCAGCTGAAAATATTCCCAGCAGTTCATGTTGATTCTGGTGTTAATAATCACAACTGCCACCAATTTATTTTATAAAACTGACACTGTCCAGTCACCATGAGGACTAGGCTCTTCATCTGTGAGAGTCACAAAGAATTGCTTTGGTTCCTTAGGTGATATTATGGACTGAAGGTTTGCACACACACACACACACACACACACACACACCCAAGAATTCATTGGTTTAAGTCCTAACCCTCTCTGTGATAGTATCAGGAGATGGGGCCTTTGGGAGCGAATTAGGTTCGGATGAGATCATAAGGATGGGACTCCATGATGGGATTAGTGTCCTTATAAGAAATCAAGAGAGCCTTGACTGGTGTGGCTCAGTGGGTTGAGCATCGTCTTGCAAATTGAAAGGTCACCGGTTTGATTTCCAGTCAGGGCATGTGCCAGGGTTGCAGGCCGGCTCCCCAGTTAGGGTGTGCAACAGGCAACCGATTAGTGCTTCTCACATTCAATGTTTCCCCCCTCTTACTGTTCTTCCCTCTAAATTAAAAAAAAAACAACAAAACATCTTTCTTAAAAAAGTCATACCAGAGCCGCTTCTCCTCGTCTTGTGAAGATGGCAAAATAATGGCCATCCACAAGCAAGGAAGAAGGCAAGAAACACATCATTACTAGATTCCAATATCAGTGAAGCCTTGAGCCCTTGTTGGGATGTAGCTAAGTCTTTTAATTTTTATTTATTAGTTTTAAAAAGAGAGGGAAAGAAAACAGCATCGTCCCACTTCCTTATGCATTCTTGTTGACTCTTACATGTGCTCTGCCCAGGAATCGAACCTGCACCCTTGGCCCATCAGGAGAGTGGTCCAACTGAGATACGCAGCCAAGGTTGTTCCCAAGTCTTTAAACAAACACAAATGTGGCCCTGATTTCAAATGTGCAGACATCTATGAGGATAAGCAGGTGCAAGAGGGTCTGTGTCCAGCCTAACATCAGGGCATAAAGACACAGAAAGGGAGGAAGCTCCGAACGAGACAGTGAGTGAGGGGACTCAGGAAGAGGGGATATTTTGGCCAAGTTGTTGAAGGGGTTTTAGCGGGAGAGGCTGGACTGGGGTGGGGCAGGCATCTCTGACAAGTTGTGGTCACAAAACAAAGGACCAGGAACTGCTGGGTGGATTGTGAAAGAGCTACCCCTGCCTGGGAGGGGACAGAGGCTGCAGCCCTGGGCTGCCGGTGCTGGCTTGCCAGGTGAGCTTGAGCCAACATGATGGAATGAGTGAGTCCTGCCCAAACTGCTCCCCGAGCAGTGGATCAAAGGGTCAGAGCCATTGGGTTTTGTTCTAGATGTCCCCGTATCAACAGGGAAACTATTCTCCACCCACTCCCCATTAGGTTGGCTGCTATGTGTGGAGCCCTAGCAAGAGACCAGAGAGCAGATTTAGGGCAAGTGCCGAGGACCCCTCACCCAGGTGTGGGGCCATCCTGTGAAATCTAGTGAAGGCCACCCACCCCGATTTGTTCAGAGACCTGGGCCCTACCTGGCTGGACTAGACTTTGCTCTCACACAAACCCCCACGTGGGAGGCAGACAATTTACACTCAGGAAAGAGGGCCTGAGCAGATGTGAGGTGGGCAAACATTTTATGGTATTGGGGAGAATTTGAGCAGACTGACCAAAAACTCCCTGCTGCAAGCCTGCCTGAAGTTGTACGCAGTATGGTCGTCACCCCTTCAGCCATCAGGATGGGCGGGAAGAATCAGCGCCGTTGGAGGCAGCAGCGGTGGTTTCCAGCCCCAGTACAGAGTAGGACTAACACTGCAGCCCACAGCCCCTCATGTCAGGTCCCGGGCTCTCTCCACACACAATTCCTTCTCATTTTTTTTTGACAAACCCTGCCTCAGGTTTATTTGCACAAACACCACAGGAGGACCCCAGCCCCAGGGGCACACCAGTACTTCTGTCCTCGCATTGGCATACAGAGGCCTCTACTGCAGAGCCTTCGCAGAGGCCACGGCACCTTTGGGAGACTGAGCCTGAGCCATGGCTGCATCTGCAGCCTGGGGGTTGGTTTGGGCCTTGGCCTTTGGTCAGCAGAGCCAGAGACCCTTGGTGATGCGGGCATGAGCATGTTTTCTGAGCTTGGGGTGAGCAATGTAAGCAAGCTGACTGAGCTTGGGCTGCCACCCCTTGGGACCTTGGGCTTAACCTTCTTGGACTTGACCAGGGCCTTGATAGCCTCAGCACATGCACTCATGGCCTTGGCATTGTTGGCCTGCATCTTCTTCAGACCCTTGTGCTTTTTGGCAAAGTGCATGTTCCTTAGGAACTTGGGGTCTACCCCCTCGAGAGATTCACATCTTTGCAGTCAGAGTTGATTGATGCCCTTTCTGTGCCATTTTGGGGACTGGATGTGTGTGGTGTGGTTCTTGGACTTGGCCATCTCTGCACCCACAGCCACAGCTCTTGAAGCACCTGGGACCGGAAGAGAAAGAGCTCCTACTAACTTTCTTGACAGGAAGCAGTTTCAGGACCAGGGACACAGCTACAGACAACATACAAGTTTTGCTTAACTGACATTTCATTTACCTTGTGGGAAAAGTTTCCAACATTTTTTAAATCAAAGGATCCCACAAACCACAAGATCAACCACTTCTCCCTTGAGCCCAGGGACAGTGGTAGCAGAAACACTGAAGGCCATGGTGTGCAGATACCAGAACACTGGCTGGGTCCCTAAAGCCACATCCCAGGACACTGAGCGATGGCCATGAGGTGAACACGCACACAGGCTAGGAGAATCCAAAAAACAGGTAGATAGCTGAGAGTGACCTGGGCCACAGATGACAGGTCTGTAATCCAGAGAATTTCTGTGACCCTCGGCTCCTGAAGCCACAGCTGCCAGAGCACTTGCGGAGGCCTCTCTGGAACCTGCTCAGACCTGCTAGTGTCCCAGGCTCCCCGTGCATTACTACAGGGTCTGCGCCCACCAGTCTTCCAATAGGCCCCTGCCGGTACCACGGTTAGTCTACAACTTACTCCACATTCTAGATTTCAGCGGACATAGCTGCTGAGCTGACTCTGGAAACAGCTTCCTCTGAACAGTGCTGGAGATTCAGGAACATCCCCTGGGAACAAAGGCCCTGGCTCATGTCCCTAGACACCTGGGGCATTTAATGCCAACTTTTTAAAGATTTTTTTTTAAAGAGAGGAATGGAGGGAGAAAGAGGGCGAGAAAGAGCGCGCACGAGATACATCATCAGTTGCCTCACACCCCTCCAACTGGGGATGTGGCCCACAAGCCAGGCGTGTCCCTGACTGGAAATCGAACTGGTGACTTTTCAGTTCACAGGCCAGCTCCCAATCAACTGAGCCACACCCGCCAGTCCCCAACTGTCTAATCTTGACCCACCAATAAACCTGACACCCAGGCACACGATTCACCCACCGAGCCTTTCAGTCTCTCCCTGCAGGTCTCGGGCACCGATGCAAGCGACACCATCCTCAACTGGAACTGTTCCCTGCCATCCTGCTGTCCCCTCCCAGACAGACAGGAGGCAGGGGTCCCCATAGAAGCCATGCCCTCTATTCATGAGCCCAATTTTGTTCACCATCCCCTCACACAGAAATCAGAACATCCTACATTAAAGGTGACTTAAGTAATAAGACCTTTATTGCTGTGCCTTGCAGAGCAGTGAGACAGTTCCAGGGCTGGGTAAACCCACAACAGGTACCGCATGTAGTGTCAACAGCGTCCACGACACTGGTTCACCTTCCCCAGATGTCCGCTGTAGACACTGCTTAGCTAAGTTGTTGGCCCCAGGTAGGTGTGTCCACATGTAAACCACTCAGGAAAATAAGGCCCAACATGGGCTCCACCATTCATGACTCTGTTCTGCACACAGCAGGGTGCATGGACGTCTGCTGTCCCTGAGCACATTAGGGTGACAATGCACCGTGGAGAGGTGCCAGGTGGCAGAGGTGTGACGGCTTCTGTCACAGCCTGTGCAGGTCAGAGTGCAACGCAGCTCTCAACCTTCCCACGTACCTGGAACCCCGACAGCAGGAGTGACGGGATGTACCCAGTTCAGCTTTCAAGGGGCTCCTCTCCCCAATCTCCTTTCTGCAGAGACGCCCTCCCTGTTGAGTGAGGTGCCAGCTATGGTGAAAGGCCTTCCTGCATCCTCTCCCCCTACGGCCTTTCTCCAGTGTGGACTTTCTTGTGCTGAAGGAGGGTAGAACTGTGTTTGAAGGCTTTCCCGCACTCCGTGCACTCATAGGGCCTCTGCTCCGTGTGGAACTGCTGGTGCCGGTTGCGGTAGGACCTGGTGGTGAAGGTCTTCCCACACAGGCCACACTCGTAGGGCCGTTCTCCAGTGTGGACCTTCCAGTGCTGGTACAGGCCCGAGCGGGTCACGTATGCCTTCCCACACTGCTTGCACTCGTAAGGCTTTTCTCCAGTGTGAACTCTCCGGTGCAGAATGAAGCTCTGGCTGTATTTAAAGAACTTCCCACATTCCCGGCATTCATACGGTCGGCCTCCAATGTGAACTTTCCGGTGCCGAATGAGAGTGGACAGGACGCTGAAGGCTTTGCCGCATTCGCTGCAGGCGTAGGGCCTTTCTCCAGTGTGGATCCTCTGGTGCAGAACAAGGGCGTCTTTGCGGTTGAAAGTTTTTCCACACTCACCACACTTGAAAGGTTTTATGCCTGTGTGAACCTTCTGGTGCTTCCTTAGTTTAGACGGGTAACTGAAGGCCTTTCCACACTCATTACACACGTTGGATGACTCTGCAGTGTGGATTTTTCGGTGACGAAGGGCTGAGTTCTCCTTGGGGACATTTCTACCTTTTGGCCACCTAAAAGGTCTCTCTTCACAGCGAGTTACCAGGTGGTCAAGGAGCGTGAAGGCCTTTGGGAAGGCTTTTCTGCAGCCGCTGCACTTGAAGGACTTCTGTGTGGTGTGGTCTCCCTGCTGCTGCTGCTTGCGACTGGGGCCGGGCAGGAAGGGCTCCCCGCGCCCCGGACTCCTGCACGGCTCCGCCTCGCTGTGGGTGGCCTGGAGCTGGAGGGGGCCTAAGGCGGCAGGGATGTCTTTCACAGTCTCCCCACCCAGAAGGTGCTGCTCTGACAGGTGGACTCTGCAGCTCCTTACCTGTTGAGGAGGGGCCTCCCCACCATCCAGTTTACAGGGACAACCTGAAACAGAGACACAGCAGTTGCGGAGAGCTGGATTAGCAGCAGGAGGCACCTTCATTGTTGGTGCACGTCAGACACACCCAGCAAGGAGTCCACAGAATCCCCACGAAGCCGCAGGGAAATGTCTGCTGAGAAAGGGCTGGCCCAGCACAAGAGGGCTCCACCAGATCACAGAACAAAGGAGACCTCAACAGGGGTGAGGACACAAAAACAGGAGAGTGTGGGGAGGAGAGCTGGGCCTCTGAGCCGAGTCATGTCTGTGCAACAGGCTTTAAGCGGGGCCTGAGCTACTGGTGACTGCATGCATGGTGAAGAAGGAAAAGACGACTGTAGCACAGAGAAGGGGAAATGACGAGACACACAGGCCACAGAGGTGGCCCATCAGGGCCTGAGTCATGGTGGACACGGCAAGACCACACCGTGTGTCCAGAGGGAAAGGCAGGGTGGGAATAAGATGCGGTCACCAGCCTCAGAACCAAAACGCCAGTGCACACAGACACAGGACCCGGCAGGCTGTGAGCCCGCTACTGAGACCAAGGCTCCCCCACGCCACTCACCGAGACCAGGACCCTTCCCGGCTTCCGCTCTGCGAATCAGAGTAATGCCCACCATGTTGGCCATCTGGAGCTCTTCTTCACCCTCCAGTTGGGCCACCACATGGGATCTTGAAGGTACAAATCCTGGGAGGGAGAAAGTTTAAGAGGCCAGCCAGCCACACACCACAGGAATCTTATGTCACCAAGGCAACCAGAAGGAAACTGAGTATTAGAAAAGGAACCTTCTCTGTATATTTAAAAATTCATTGAGAGGATAGATCTCATGTTATATGTTTTGCCACATTAAAAAAAAATCTCTTACTAGCATAACTGAAGTAAGAAATAGATAATGGTTGGAGATTTCAATTTCTAACTTTCAATAAAGGGATAGAACTAGGAGGCAGAAAATGGACAAGGATGTAGCACTTGAGTAGCACTAAAAGTCACCTAGAACTAACAGACACATACAGGATATGCCGCCTAAGGACAGCAGATACATGTTCTCACTCTGGAACATTCCTCACAGCGAACCATTTGGTAGGACACAAAACAAGCCTTAATGGATATCAGAGGACTCGAATCATAGAAAGTACGTTCTCTGCCCTGGCTGGTGTGGCTCCAGGGATTGAGCGCCAGCCTGTGGATCAAAAGGTCACCAGTCAGGTTCCTGGTCAGGGCACATGCCCGGGCTGCAGGCCAGGTACGCAGCTGAGGGCACACGAGAGGCAACTGATTCATGTATATCTCACATATCGACGTTTCTCTCCTTTTCTTTCTCCCTCCCTACTGTCTCTCTAAAATAAATAAATAAAATCCATTTAAAAATTTTAAAAATAAAAGAAGGTACCCTGGCTGGTGTGGCTTGGTGGATTAAGCACAGGCCTGTGAACCAAGGGGTCATTGGTTCGGTTCCTAGTTGGGGCACATGCCTGGGTTGCAGGCCAGGTCCCCATGTGGGGTGTGCAGGAGGCAACCATACAGTGATGTTTCTCTCCCTCTTTCTCCTTCCCTTCCCCTCTCTCTAAAAATAAATAAATAAACTCTTTAAAAATAAAGGAAGGTATATTCTCTGACTATAATGAAATTAAACAGAACTTAATGACAGAAAAAAAGTTGGGAAACTCACAAATTTATAGACTTTAACTAAAACTCTCCTAAATAACCAGAAAAAAATTTAAAAGCACTTTTAAGGTTTTTTATTAGATTTTATTTAGTTTTAGAGAGAAGGGAAGGGAAGGAGAAAGAGAGGGAGAAAAACATGATGTGTAAGAGAAACACTGATCAGTTGCCTCTCCCACACCCTCAACCAGGGTCCCTGCCTACAACCCACGCATGTGCCCTGACCAGGAATCAAACTGGCAACGCTTTGCTTGGCAGGCTGGCACTTAATCCACTGAGCCACACCAGCCAGGCACAGAGTACTTTTAGATGAAAATGAAAATGCAACATATAAACATTATGGGGGAAAAGCAAAGCTTAAAGGGGAAATTATAGCTACAAACACCTCCGTGCTGTTTTACTCACAACACTTGCGACACCAAGCGTGTGGAGAGTTTCCCAGACCGCTTCTCCAGCCGTGACACCAACTGGGTGTCCAAGGGCTTCATCAATTCTGACACCAACTACCCAGAATTAGTGTCAGACGCCACAGGTTTAGGGCTCAGCTGCACAAGACTGTTCCCACTTCAGACATCGATGGAAAGTCTCAGGACTCCCATAGTTTTGGCCAACTGGCTATAAGCTGGGGATTCCCATGACTGATCCCTCCTTAGGTTCATTAATTTGCTAAAACTCAGGTTCACAGAACTCAGGAAAACAGTTTCCTTAGATCACCAGTTTTACTATCAAGGACGCAGCTCAGAAGCAGCCAAAAGGAAGAGATGCGCAGGGCAAGGTGTTCCCAAGGTGGGCGTGGGCGTGGGGAGTTGAGTGTCCACACCCCCTCCCCAGGGGGGTGCCACTATTCAACACCCCCTTGTGTTCACCAACCCAGAAGCTCTCCGAGCACCACCGTTTATAAGTTTTAATGGAGGGTAGGTTTCACTATGTAGGCAAGATCGATCAAACCACTGGCTGTTGGTGATTAACTCCAGGCCCTCTGCACTCTGTGTGGGGCTGGGAGGATGAGGGGTAGGGAGTAGCTAAAAATTCAACCTTCCAATCATGCCTTAGTCTTTCTGGTGACCATGCCTCATCCTGAACCTATCTAGGGGTCCCCAGCTACCAGTCACAATGAGCATACAAAAAAACACCCACATCACTGCAGAGAGTCCAAAGGTTTTAGGAGCTGTGTGCCAAGGGCTGGAAACAAAATAAAAATACAAATGCATTTCTCTCACAACAGACGTATTTATTTTTAATTAATTAATTTATTTTCAGAGAGAGAAGAAGGGGAGAGAAAGAGAGGGAGAGAAACATCAGTGTGTGGTTGCCTCTGACTGGGAATGGAACTGGCGACCCTTTGTTTCACAGTCCAGCACTCAATGCACTGAGCCACACCAGCCAGAGCTACAACAAGAATATTTTAAAAAGATCTCAAACCTCTGATCATAAATCCCTAACAGGAGCAGATCAAGGTGGGTAGTCAAACCCTAGGCCTGTAACTTCTTCAGTGCGGCCCTTTGTCTCTGTGCATCTGGGTTAACACACCTTTGAAATGCCTCTTTTTAGACCCTTCGACAGAGCACATGATCTGAACTACATTGGAATACACTCTCTGACTCACTTTCTTCCACCTTTCTGTAATCTTCCTCCTTAATTTCAAATGTGTAAAAGACACTGCAACACTTTTTCTCCCTGGCATTTCAGATCTTGCTCCCTGGCATAGGTCATCAGTTAGTTTTTGCTCAAATAAACTCTTATTAAAAAATAAAAAATAAAAAAAACACCTCAAACCAATAGTCTAACTTTACACCTCAAGGAAAAGAAAACGCAAGAGCAACTAGACCAAAAGTTAGCAGAAGGAATGAAATAATAAATGAAAGAGATTGGATAAACACAATCAAGGAAACCAAAATCTGAGTTTCTGAAAAGATCAACAAAATTGACAAATGTTAAACTGACAAGAAAAACCAGAATACTCAATTTATTACGAAGAGGAATGAAAAAGGGACACTGCTAACAAATCACAAAAATACAAACTCTTCCAAAAAACAACAGAGGATGGAACATTTTCCATCTACTGAAGCCAAAATTACCCTCACATTCAATCCAGAGACGTTACAAGAAAAGAAAACGATACCACTGATTTTTTTATTACTTTATTTTTTAGAGGGGGGAGGGAGAGCGGGGCTGACAGACACTGATTTGTTGTTCCACTTGTCCATGCATTCATTGGTTCTTTCTTTCTTTCTTTTTGTATTTTATTTACTTATTTTTAGAGAGAGGGGAAGGGAAGGAGAAAGAGTGGGAAAGAAACACCAATGTGTGGTTGCCTCTCGTGTGCCCCCTACTGGGGACCTGGCCTGCAACCCAGGCATGTGCCCTGACTGGGAATCGAACCGGCAACCCCTTGCTTCACTGGCCTGTGCTCAATCCACTGAGCTACACCAGCCAGGGCTCACTGGTTATTTCTTATGTGTGCCAGCTGGTGATCGAACCTGCAACCTTGGTGTGTCAAGATGATACTATAACAACTGAGGTTGCCAACCAGGGCACAATGATAACTCTTATGAATATAGTTGCAAAAATACTAGCGAACCAAATCCAGGAATTAACCAAAGGAATTATAAACCACAATAGAGTGGGATTTATTCCAGTATTGCAAAGTGGAACATATTAAAACCAAATCCAGAAATACACCATGTTAACAGAATAGAGGAAAAAGTCACACTATACTTTCCATATACATGGGAAAGGATTAGACACAATCTAAGGGCTTCTCATGCCAAGTGCCCTCAACAAACTAGGAAGAGAAGGAAACCTCACCTGCAAAAACCTACGGCCAATATCATACTCATTAGTAAAAGACTGCTTTTCCCATAAGATTGGAAATAGGATAAAGGTGTCTACACTTATCAAATAAAGTCCTGGAGGCTGACAGGTGTGGCTCAGTTGGTTGCACAAAGTGAAAAGCTGCAGGTGTGATTCCTGGTCAGCACACATGCCTGGGTTACCAGTTCAGTCCCCAGTAGGGGTGCGTACGAGAGGCAACCAATGGATGTTTCTCTCTTACATCCCTCTCTTTCTCCCCCCTTTCGAATTCATGGCTCAATCCTGGCCCAGGGAGGGCCCTATACAATTTTCTTTGGAGGAAGGTGGCAAAACTGGGAGCAGAGGGGCCATGGCTTCAGCAGGGTCATAGAAAAAGGCAGAGCTGTATCGGATTTGTTGGGAAAATTGTAAACATCCGAACCCAAGCCATCCCCCATGACGCCCTTGAGGATGAGGCTGCTAACAGGGCTGCTCAGGGAGAGGTGGGACGAACACAGTCCGGTCCGAGTACTGGGCACCAAACCAGGGAACCTGAGAAAAAGCAGTCTCCGTGGTGGGGCTTTAGGATGAACACAAGTCCCCACGGGGAAAAAGCAGAGGTGGCCAGATTGCTGGGAGAGTGTGAGGGTCTTACCCAGCGAGACAATGAGGGCAAAGTTTTCCAGCATCACATCACGGTACAGGCTCCTCTGGGTGGAATTAAGGAGACTCCACTCCTCCCGGGAGAAGTACACAACCACGTCCTCAAAGGTCACCCCCTGCCATGATGGATATTCAACTGAGCCTTCAGGTCAACAGTAGGCAGAAAAGCCAACCAAAATGTAGACAGAGAAACACATCTAGGGCTTGACATGTAGCTTAGGGTCTTGCCACATCTTTCCCTTTGAGCCCTAACCCCCCCATCCATACTCTCATCCCTCCCTCTTCCTAATATCCCTACACCTCAGAGAATGACCAGTGCCCCTAATATCACTGGTGCCTCGCTCCTAATATTACTACTGGATTATGTATGCATCCAGCCCACAGCAACAGGCTGGGGATCAGACAGATGCCAACTACGTACCGAGCACGGAGCACAGGAGCTCCCTATCTCCTGCCCGCCAGATCCCCGAGCCTCAGACCTCACAGAGTTCATATAGCTGCCCGCCAGGCACACAACCCGGCATAACCTCTCCGGTCCGCCCCAGATGCACGAAACTAATGAGCCCCCCACAGGTCAGTTCTGCACGTGGTGTCTCCAGCGTGACACCACGGAGAGCAACAACTCCCCCACCCGCCCCAGGCAGCGTCGCCCCTAGGAACCACGCACACATCTTCGAGCCCCAGCCCTCATCCAACAGCATTTGCTTGGCTGTCCCTCCCCTCCCCAGCCTTGCTCCCTCAAGGGCTCATTTGGAAGCGGATCCCTGGCACTCACCAGCGTCTCCTTGGCCATCGGAACCTTCAGGCGGAGCGTGGCAGCAACCAGGCTGCACGCCCAGTGTCCACTGAACGCCGCCGCCGCCCCGCGCGCAGCCACCTCCAGCCGCTGAGGAAACTTCGGAGCTCGGTCTCCACCGGGTACGAGGTTCCGAAGGGTGCGGAGCCGCCTCCGGGGAAACGGGGCACGCGAGACTCAAGGAAACGGAGCCATCACGGGGACGCCCGCGCGTGCGGAGATGCTGCCAGGGTCCCCGCCTTTCTCCTTCGCCGCCCACTTGACTCAAGGGAAGTAAGTCCTTGCTAAAGGACCGCAACGACTCACCGCCAACGGCCAACTGAGCACTGCCTGGGCGATGCCGGAAGTCCCGCCCCACCCGCGCAGTCCGCGGCCGCTTCACGCGTTCACTTCTTTTCCCAGCTCCTCTCGCGCGGCCGCTTGCTCGTTGCCACGGCGATAGTGGAGCGCGTTCCCAGCTTCTTCAGGACGCTTAGAACTACATTTCCCATAATACCTCACACTGAGGACGGCACTGGAGGGGGCCGTTTCCCAGCGAGCCGCGCGTGCAAGGAGGAGCTTCTTGTTACTTGGAAACCACCTGGGGCTGAGGAGCAGGGTTGCTGTGCGACCCGTGGCGTCCTGAAGGCTGCCCCGGCCTGCGGCGAAGCCAGAGGGGAAGACACGAGAGTCCGATGTCCCCCCATGCCCTGTACTCCCGAGGCCTGGTCGGCCGCGAGTGTTAGCGAGGAGGGGAGAACTGAGGCAGAGGGAACTGCGGCCGCGGAGCCGGGGACAGGAAGTGTGCCAGGGGGGCAGGGGGTGGCGGACAGGGAAAACCGAGTGTGTCTGGGTCGGACAAGAGCGTGGAATTGAGGGGAGATGTTTTGCAGAAAGCTCTCTGGTCCCCATTTGAGTCCACGCCCTGCCCACACCCAGCCTCAGTTTCCCCATCTGTCAATCTGGGCACTGCCGCTCCCTCGAGGGACAATAGGAAGAGAGCTGGGGGAGGACCCAGGTAAGATTTGCTGAGTTGGAGGCCCCACGAATGTGGCGGAGGAGGCTGTGTGGCCAAGATGATGGCTCCTCTGCTTAGACCTCTGGACATCATCTGCCATGTGAGGTCCCTCCTTGTGCTTGTGGTGCCCCCAGTGCACCTTTGGTACACAGCAGGCACTCAATAAATAAGGTGGATTAACGAATTTTTCTTGCAAATAGAGTGTTTATTGTCCGCTTTACAATAAAGGACAGGGAACCAAAGCCTGGCAGGTACAGGCCTCTCTGTTATAATGCCAGGAACTGAGGGTGACCTGCTGTCTGGGTGTTCACAGGACCTGGGAGGAGGAGCAAGCCTGGGACAGCAGGGATGGAGCTGGCAGAGGGAGGGCTGGGAGAGCACAGCTCCGGGTGACCACAGGCTGAAAGGTAAAGGTGGGGGGCAGTCTCCATGATCCTGGCCCCGGGGTGGTTTCGGGCAGACCCTTTGTTCATGAGCAGTGGGCGGGCAGGCATCGAGGTAGTAATCAGCAGACAGGATGTGCAGCAGTCCCTGGGCTCTGTCATCAGCCTCATTTTACAGGAGGAGAGACTGAGGCCTCAGGCTCCCAGCTGAGGGTGGAGAAATCATGCTTCCTTTGTAGCCTCCTGAAGGAAGCTGGTTAGCACAGGGAGGGAGAGGCCAGCGCTGTCTACTAACCTCAGCCACCACCTCATTGTGTCAGGTCCCCAACTCAATGTCAGCTATCATTTCCCCTTAGTGTCCTTGAAGATACAGTTCTGATGTCTCTTCATCCAGGCAACCTTCTTTGAACATCCTCAGGCAGAGAGCATCATCTCTCCCTCTTTTATGTACCACCAGACGAGGGTTCCTTTCTGGTTCCCTTGGCTGGATCCATCCCTGGAAGGTCTTCTGCCCCCACCCCTGTGCCCCAGGCGGGAGAGATGGGATGAGGAGGGAGCTGAGACACTATACAAACAGTAATGGCTCCTGCAGATATCCAGATCCTAATCCCTGGAATCTGAATCTGATACCTTGCCTGGGTACCTAAAGGACTTGCAGATGTGTTTAAATTAAGGACTTTGAGCTGGAGAGAGTATTCTGGACTATCTGGGTGTCATCACAGAGTCCTTATAAGTCAAAGAGGAAGGCAGGAGGGTTAGAGGGAGAGATCTGAAGATACTATCCTCTGCTGTGAAGACAGAGGAAGCCAAGGAATGCAGCTTAGAAGCTAAAGAAGCTAAGAAGGACCCAAATTCTCCCCTGGAGCCTCCAGAAGAAACTGGCCCTGTGGACACCTGGACTTCAGTCCAGTGAGACAGATCCCAAGACTTCTGCCTGCAGAACTGAGAGACACTGTGTGTTTTTCTAAGGAACTGAGTTGGTGGAAATATGTCACAGCAGCCAGAAAAATCTACACATTGCCATCCTTGCTCCTGCCTGATCAGGTCTCCTCCCAACGGAGGCTGGGCTGTGAGTGACATTGGCCCTACAGGTATGGGACAGGAACTGGTCTCAAAAGACACCCCCTGGAACACCCTGCCATCCCCACTCTGTCTGTCCACCTGGAAGCAGCAGCTCACACCAGAAGGAGCTCCGCTGACTGCCTAGATCAGAGTGACTGGCAGCTGTGTCCGCCCAGAGTGTCCACAGGCATTCCTGGGCTGCCCACCAGTTACCTGCAATGCTGTCACTTCCCAGAAAACTGTTTGGCATTCACTCGAGGCCAGGTGCTGAGGACACACATGTAAACAAACCAAACAGGAGTCTCTAGCCCCATAGAAATGTCACTGGAAAAATGCTGGAGGCCCCCCTGCAACACACAGCACCCCAACCTTGGGAAGAGACAGAGTAGGGGTTTCAGGACCTGGGGGTCAGGGCAGATGACTCATATCCTGAGGGTGGCTGCCATCAACTGTGCTGTGACTAAGCCAGGAAGGCTTCGGGGAGGAGAACAGGATCCAAGAGCTGCCCTCTCTGGAGGAAGCAGTCCACCAGCAGGGCTGAGGCCTCACCTGGGGGCCCGACAGGAAAGGCTGATGGAAATCTGGCAGAGGAGGAGGGGCAATAACTGGCCCCGAGAGAAATTAATGAAAAGAGGTGGGGGTGATGGGGACTCCACTTGCCAAGGAAGTCCAGGAGCAACCCCCCAAATCATGCATCACTGATCCAGAGGGCAACCTTGGTCTCTGTGAGCCTGGGTGATACAGCTGCCCCAGGCCCCAAAGTCTATCAGGAGGATCCCAGAAACCAGGACCCACAGAGGAAGGTCGACTTCCTCCATGGAAACTTGGTTCTCAGCACACAGGTGGGAGCTGGTATTTGAGGCTCAGGTCCTACCTGTCCCTCTCCAGCCCTAGTCCCAGCGAGGTGTGCAGGGTAGCAGCGAGACAGCCTGCAAGCAGCTGAATATAAAACAAAGTGCACCACCTGGGTGGGAGTCAGCCCTACAGTGGCCCGGTCAGAGGGCTGTTTCCAGCCAAGAACAGCAGCAGCTCTGCCCTCCAAGGACAGGGCCACCACAGTCAGTGAGGGAGGCTCTCCAGCCAGGGATGAAAATTGGGGGACTCCCACTGCACTCTCACGGAGACAGGGTTGGACCTCCCAGCAGGGTGCCCTACAAAGACCCTCAGCTGAATGCCTGCAGGGATTGGGGGCACAGGTGTTCTCATGGGTTTCTTTTTGAAAGGGTCCCTGTCTAGCGGTGATAATCCCACCGGACCTCTCTCTGGAGAAATGTGTGCCACCAGGCTCCCAACTAAGCCTCAGGGGATCCTAGCAAGTGGTTCTGGCAGGGCCCCCAGGATAAAACCAAGATCCCCAGGACCTGAGGCTGGATCTGCAGCAGAGATGCGTTTACTGTGCCCCCCATACCCTCCTCCTGCCCCGTGCCCCACTGGCCCAGCCAGGGCCATCCTCTGCCTCCCACTCACGGTCCAACGTCCTGTCCAGCATCCCCTCTACCTCCTCTGTGTCTTCGGGGCTCCCTTGGGGCTCCAGCGCATCCTCCGCAGCCCCTGGCAGGATGGCATCCAGGTCACTGTCCGTGGGGCCTGGGGTCCAGGGCATCCCAGGCGTGGGCTGCTCCGGGAACCAGGAGAAGCTGGGTGCCGGGGCGAGCGCCACAAGCTGGGGCCGTGCGGGACCAGAAGAGGCGGCGTGCGGGATGAGGAAGAAGATATAGACGCCGGACACAACCAGGCCTGCGGTCACCAGCACGGCCAGTGCCACCGCAGCGTTAAAGGCCCAGGTGGGGCTGTCCAGCGTCAGGCGGCGCGACAGCGGCCGGCCAAGGCGCAGGGGAGGTGGAGGCTGGGGGCGCGTGGGGCGTGTCTTGCGCGACCCAGGAGCATGAGGTGGGCGCATGTAGAGCAGACCCCGGCGCCGGTCAAAGCGCACAGAGCCTTGGCTCGCAGGCGGGGTGCACGCCTCGTGGGGCAGCAGGCCGGTCTGTGTGGGCAGGGCGGGCAGCCCCCCGCGCTGGGCTAGTCGCGTGGGTGTGCGGCACATTGGGCAGGCCACCGCGTCGCCGCCGCCTGCCGTGGCCAGCGACAGGCGAGCCAGGCACTCCAGGCAGAAGACGTGACCACAGTCCAGGCGCTTGGGCAGCTTGAACACGCCGTCGAAGGGCGACACGCAGATGAGGCACTCCACAGGGGACGCGGGGGGCAGGATGGGGCCCGAGCCCGGGGTGCAGTCCCCATCCTCCTCGTCCTCCTCCTCTTCCTCCCCCCGGCCTGGGGACCGGGGTGTAGACAGCGAGCCCGGGGAGCTCGGGCCGGAGGCCTGGGTGGCCCTCGGGTGGCGGAGCCAAGGAAGCCCAGGGCAGGGCATCCGGACTGGGCCTGAGAGGAGAGGCGGACAGGCAGCAACCAAGGCAGTGCAAGGACGGAGTGTCTGCACGCCGCAGGGGATTCTCTCCACGTGGAGCAGGGCCCAGAAGTAGAAGACAATATGGGGGGATAGAAGAGACTCGGGGTTGGGGTAGAGGAAGATGTTCAAGGTGGGGCGTAGCAGCAGGATCAGGAATTGGGGGCACAGAAGGGAAGAGAGGGAGGGACCTCGGACGGACTAGAGATGAACCCAGGGGACAGAGCCGATTATGAACTTGGAAGACCCAGAATCAGCCAAGAGGAGACTCCAGAGAGGACCAGGCAGGCATGGGGAAGAGCAAATAGGGACTCCCAGGACAGCTAGGTTGACAGACCCTGCAGGAGCACAGAAACTCCAAGGACAGGCGAGGACACAGGAGCCGGTGCCTGGAAGCAGAGCCAGGAAGCCCACAACAGGTGTCCCAGGCTCCCCAGCCATCCGACCCTTCCTACCTGCTGGAACCACCTCTGTCTGGCAAGTCTCTGCTGGTTCTGACCCCAATCCTTGGCTTACCGTCAGAGGGACAGAAGTGCCCCTCCCTGTGGGAGGGAGCCTGAGGTGGCACCACTGCCCTCCAGGTCCCAGCCAGACTAGTCAGACTGCTTGTCACGCCCACCAGGATGAACAGAAGGATGTGGAGGGTGGTGGGCAGGTGAAAGACAGCACAGGGTGACAGAGCTCGAACGGCCTAGAGACCTCTGATGAGCAATCCCACCCCCCCAACACCTCCTCATGAATTCATCCAGGAGGCACTGGCAGAGGAACATGGATGCGGTGACAGTGGCCCCAAGGGCTGCCCGGGGCTGGGCCGTAGCCAGACCACCTACTGCTCCCAAGGAGACAGCCTGGAGCCACCAGGGACAACCTGGCGAGAATGGGGCTTCTGGAGTTGTGTGGGTGGGAAGTAGGAAGACCCCTCAGTGGCCTGGGCAGGGTGAGCCCTTGCTGGCCAGCTAAAGGGGCTGGAAGTGGTCATGGCCCAGATCCCAGCTTAGTTTCCTCTTCCTGGGCTACTCAGGATGGTAAGCCGCCACCCAGACTTCACAGGGACTAACCAAGCCCCTCCCCAAGCCAGAGTGACACCTCTGTGGGGATAACCCCACCCTTCTCATTTCCAACCAGCCGGAACACTCCAGGTGGCCAGGCCAGCACCCCAGGGTGCCATGGTTCTTAGTCAGTAGTGCTTTCCTGGGGAATCCAGGTCCCCACAGGCCAAAAGATGTGTCAGGAATGTGACCAGCTCCTCAGGACTTGGGGCTGTCCTGTCCCAGCTCCCAGCGACCCCCAAGGACAGACAGTGGCACAGACAGGTGGTGCTGCCCGAGGGGCAGACAGGTTTATTGGGGCTGTAGCCAGTGATCAACGGTTGGACTTGGCCACACGCTCCAGCTCGTCTTTCTTCTTGATAGCGTAGGAGTTGGAGGAGCCCTGGAAGGAACAGCGTGGTTAGCTCCAGAGGTGGGAAGACCCCCCCCCACGCATCAAGTCCCCCAGTGTCCTCACCCACCTTGGCCGCATTGATGAGCTCATCTGCCAGGCACTCAGCGATAGTCTTGATGTTCCGGAAGGCAGCCTCACGGGCACCTGTGCACAGCAGCCAAATGGCCTAGGGAACAGAAGTCCACTGAGCCCGGGACAGAGGATGCCCCAAACCAGGCAGGGCCATGGTCCTCCCCCAAAACTGCTGGCCACACATTACCGCCCACTGGCTCACTAAGATGGAATGGCAGGAGCCCATATTGCTGCCAGATCTGGGATCAGACTGAGGGCCACAAAAGTGTGGATAGACACAAAGGCTGAGGTTGGGTTCCTGATTACAGGAGACTGGAGACCTGCCGTAATAGGGAAATGCAATGTGTGCTCTTGACCCGAACCCTTGATTGGAAACTAACAGCTATAAAGGGTGTGCTGGGGACACCAGACACTCAATTGCTGTTAAAATTCCTTGGGGGTGACAGTAGGGATAGAACATCCATGTTCTCAGAGATAACCACTTAAGTGTTGAGAGGGAAATGGTTAGTTAAAATGTCTTCAATGGATTCTCAAGTAATCCAAGACAGACAGACAGACACACACACACAGACAACCCCCCCCCAAAAAAACAGACCAAAAATCAATTGGCATCTCAGCCCAATAGGTCCAGAGCTGGGATCTGCCCTACATGTGATAGGAATCCAGGAAGGCTTCCTGGAGGAAATGACACTCCAGCTAAAACATGCAGACAAGAATGAGCCATCCCACTTGCCAGCCGCTGCCCAGGCAGGACTCCACTAAGGTCTGATTGCTATTACCAGCCCAGCCGCGTGTGCCTAAAGCCCCAGGCCCACCTGGTTCACCCGGCGCAGAGGGGACACATCCACGGCCTGTCGCCTCACTGTTCCAGCTCGTCCAATTCGGGTTGAGTCCTCCCGGGGGCCACTGTTGATGATGGCGTTCACCAGGACCTGCAGGGGGTTCTGATGGGGTGGGGGACAATGAGCCTGAGATCTGGCCAGTACCCTACTCTAGTCTCTCATCCCTAAAACCCGTAGGGCCTCACCTAACAGCACGCACACCGTGGGGTGGCTGTTAACTTTAGGGTCTGCTAAGGGCACACTCTGCCCACCTGGCCTCAGACCCTACCTCGCCAGTGAGCAGGTGGATGATCTCGAAGGCATGCTTGACGATGCGCACAGTCATGAGCTTCTTGCCATTGTTGCGGCCGTGCATCATCATGGAGTTGGTGAGGCGCTCAACAATGGGGCACTGTGCCTTGCGGAAGCGCTTGGCCGCATAGCGCCCTGCACTGTGGGGCAGGTACTTGGCATACTTCTCCTTCACCGCGATGTAATCCTGGGGCAAGAAAGAGAGACCATGGTCAGAAACAGGATAGACTGGAGGCACGGAGCACCCAACCCCCGCTGCCACAATAACATAAAATGTAAACAAGTAACCTTGTTTTCAAGATTTTATTTATTTTTAGAGAGGGGAGGGGAAGGAGAAAAAGAGGGAGAGAATCATCAGTGTGTGGTTGACTCTAGTGTGCCCCCAACTGGGGACCAGGCCCCCAACTCAGGCATGTGCCCAGATAGGGAATTGAACCAGTGACCTTTTAGTTCACAGACCAGCAGCACTCAATCCACTGAGCCACACCAACTAGGGCACAAGTGACTTTACAATGGGAGGAAGTAGGGTGGAAAACTATGGAGATTATCACAAACATAACACAACTACCCAACTTGGTGTTCCTGAAACTGCAGTACTGACATTTTAGATAATTCTTGGGAGGGCCAGGGGCTGTCCTGTACGTTACTGAATGTTCAGAAGAAACACTCTTGGTCCTGACACCTAAACCATTGTTAAAAAAAATGTATCACACAAAAACCCTTTCTATGCATACATAAATTTCCCCCCAAAATGTCTAGAAAACCCCAAAATGTTGGGAAGGGGGCTGGGATCAGGAACTATGTGGCCACTTACAGGACTCTCAATAGTCCCACTATGAAACATGCCCAAGGCCATTCTATGACTCACACGTCAGGATATAAACAATGTTTTTCTAAAGATACAAGGAGTGACAAGGAAAGGACACAGAGAAAGCTGATACTGGCCCAACAGTCTAGTGTCTACTAGAGGGAACCACCCGCACACATGAGCTGTTCCATTTACTTCTTTTAAAATATAGTTGAAAAAAGATTTATCTTCAGAGAGGGGGAAGGAGGGAGAAAAAAAGAAAAGAAACATCAATTGCTCGCCTCTTGTACACCCCCACCTCAGGTATGTAGACAGGGAGTCAAACCGGAGGAGACCTTTTGGTTTGCAGGCCAGCACTCAGCCCACTGAGCCACACCAGCCAGGGCTCAATTCCTAATAAAGTAAAAAGGGACCCTGCCTGGTGTGGCTCAGTAGACTGAGTACTGGCCTGGGAACCAAAGGGTCATCAGTGTGATTCCCAGCCAGAGCACATGTCTGGGTTGCAGGCAGGTCCCTAATAAGAAATGCACAAGAGACAACCAAACACTGATGTTTCTCTCCCTCTTTCTCCTTCCTTTCCCCTCCCTGTAAAAATAAGTAAAATCTTAAAAAGATAAAATTTAAAAAGGGAATAATAAACATAACGCAAACTAAATTTTATTCGTCTCTGTACAAATGCAGTCACAAAATATAACCTTTTTCCCCCAGAAAGAACCCACAAAAGTGCAAACAAGGTCAAGTATACAATACGGAGATAAAGTAGGAGGTGTCCCATTTTCTGACTTCAAACCTATTTGTTCAATCCCTGGTCAGGGCACTTCTAAGGAACAACCAATGAATGGATAAATAAGTGGAACAACAAATCCGTGTTTCTCTTTCTTAAAAAAAAAAGGGGGGGGGGCGCGTGTATCAGGTGTAAGGACAGACACAGAATCCAGAGTCCAGGAATAAACATCTATGCTTAGGCATTGGCTGGGTGGCTCAAATGGTTACAGTGTTGACCCATTGTACCAAGGTTTCAAGTTTGAGCTCCATTCAGGGCACATAAAAGAATCAACCAATTGTCCTGGCTGGTGTGGCTCAGTGAATTGAGTGCGGGCCTGCAAACCAAGGGATCGCAGTTCGGTTCCCAGTCAGTGTGCGTGCCTGGGTTGCGGGCCAGTTCCCAGCGGGGGACACACCAGAGGCAACCATATGTTGACATTTCTCTCCTTCCCTTCTAAAGATAAATAAGTATAAAAAACTTTTAAAAAATCAACCAGTGAATGCACAAAGAAGTGGAATAACAAGTTGGTATTTTCCTCTCTAAAAATCAATGGAAAGTAAAAACCAACACCTATGCTCAACTAATTTTCAACAAGCATGCCAAGACCAACACTCTCTTTAACAAACATTGCTTGGATACATGCATATAGTGTTTAGAAGAGACTTAAATTACAAACATCCTATGGCCTAAGTTTGTTAAATAAAATGCACAAAACTGAAGACAAAAACTAGATGGTGCTAGGACAAGTGGAAGAATGATGTTGGACCCTGCCCTTTAAAATGGTCACGATGGTTAATTTTTATGTTATGTGTATTTTGCTACAAAAATAACCCATGGGATGGGATGCTCCTTCTGAGAAAGGAACCATCTCCTAATAAAAATGTTAGCAACCTCTGTACACATCCAAGTAACAATGGACAGGTGGGTGTGGTGGTACAGGGATCCCCTTTCAAAGGTCACATGTTCATCTCTTGACTTAGATGGGCAGCTACAAGTTTCAAGTGACCTTCCTGAAAGAATCCACATGGGCCCCCACCCCCAGCTTGAGGGGGTACAACCACCACGTCTCCTCTAACCTGCAAGGAAATGTCATTGATCTGCACATCATCGGTGCTCCACTTCCCGAAGAGCTTGATATCAGGGGTCTCTGCTACTGCAGGTGCAGCCGGATCCCAGTCGGTCATCCTAGGGACAGAAATCGTCAGGGCCCAGGTGCACCCACCACTGACTCTGAGCCCGGCGCACATCCTGTTAATTCGGAAGTCATGAGGAACCCAGGCAGGCTGTGAAATTCTGGCTCTGCCTTTCTGAACCCTGGAGAAACCACTCAGGGGTTAGCAAGAAGCATGTGTCTGTCAACCAAGAACCCAAGGGTCAACAGCTGATGCATGAACCACAGCCTGCAGGAGATGCCAAACGCCGTAACATGGCATCGCTGGAGAGCAAATCACAGGAGCTCTAAGGAGCTCTGCGACTGTGGGAGTCACCCAACTGCTTTAGACTCTGCTTCCATATCAGCAAAACAGAAATGTTATCTGCCATCAAAGGTCACTACACGAGTTCCGAGCAGAACCAGGCAAAACCTACGGTTCGTGTCCGGCACTATAAAGGGAACGGAAGCTATTATTAAGGAAGGAACCGTGTACGAAGCGGAGAATGCACCGTGCATCTCAGAATTACGAGAACTTCCTATCTAGACTTGTATTTGTAAAGAACAATCCCACTATCCGGAGGCCTGCTGCGGGGAAAGTTCCGGAGGTGGCGGGGCTCCAGCAACCCCCTTGCCTCTTCCCGGTCCCTACGCACGGTTCCCGGAAGGAGAGGAGAGGACCCACGAGAGAAGCCTCCGGCTTCGGGGCCCGCCCATGGCTTCCTTAAAGACTCTGGAACGTCCATCAAACCCCCGAACCCCCGACAGCCTCACCTGAGCGCGCTGCCTGGCCGCCTCCGTCGCTCCGCGTGGACCACGCGCTCCGCTGGCACAGACAGGAAGAGGCCGC